GTCCAACCTCATGGGTTTTCTCCGGTTTCTCCCACTGCTAAAGACACCTACTATGCGTGGTATCACATTTCTAATCTCACCATGAGTGATCTCACTTTACTTATCTCACTAAGAGTGGTCTCACATTTCTTATCTCACTATGAGTAGTCTTACATTTCTTATCTCACTATGAGTGGTCTCGCATTTCTTATCTCGCCATGAGTGGTCTGACATTTCTTATCTCACTAAGAGTTGTCTCGCATTACTTATTTAAAATACTTAGCTTGCAATGATGTGTCTATTCAAACTCATGTTTCATGTCCTACTGAGCTAATGAGGACGGGCATATGCTATGCAATGTCTTATGAGGGTAATTTTGCCTGGTCAGCGGCGCTACGGACTACTCTTATTTTGAATTCAAACTGTCAAAGGCTCTTTCACATGCATGCCATGTGTACACAAGACCTCGGTTTTTGTTCCCATTTGAACAACTATATATTATCTTTTGCCAGGATTCACGTCCTACACCAGATGAAGTTTCTTGGCCAACGCAGGGATCAAACACAGGACGTCCACGTTAATGAGCCAACATCTTACTCACTGAGCCACTGTGGCACCCCATTGTACATTACTTCATTCCCATTACCGAAAGGAAAAAAAATGAAATGAAATGGGGTTTAACGTCCTACTGTTCTTCTCTGATTGGACTAATGAAGACGGGCATATGCCATACAGTGTGCTATGAGGGAAATTTTGCTCGGGCAGAGTCACTATGGCCTACTCTTATATCGAATTCCAACCGCCAAGGGACCTCGTTTTTCGTTCCATCCGAACAACTAGACAGCTATCCTTTTCAGCAAAAGAAAACAACAAAGAAAATTTAATTTGTATAGATTTTATATATGTATTTGTGTATAGGCTACATGACATAGCGCGGCCAATTAATTCATGATAATAACAGATCACTTGTAATGGCCAAAGACCATATGACAATTTATTTACAACATTAAAATGGTAATATCAGTATATGACACAACCACAGGCTGAGAACAATATAATAAGTCCTTCTTCTTAATTAAATCATCTCTTTCTTACAAAAATATTAATACTAAGACCTCATCAACTAGTAGGCATGTCATGCCAGGAAGAGACAATTCTTACTGAAATCTAAATGGATAAAAAACTGTCCAATGAACTGGATAAAACATTTTGAATTGTCCAATGAACTGGATGAAGCATTTTTGAATTGTCCAATGAACTGGATAAATCATTTTTGAATTGTCCAATTAAATGGATGACTCATTTTTTTAATTGTCAAATTAAATGGATGAACCTTTTTTAATTGTCCAATCAACATCAAAATTAATATCAATATGAATATTAATAAACACAAAAACTATTACTATTTTAATTAAAGCTACTACTTGTTGAGGGTTTGCTTCTCTCAATAAAACGTTGCTAAAATTAAAATAGTAATTGTGTTCCATAGTATGTTTTTGTGTTTATTATGTGTGTCAATTGCTAAATGCGGCTTAAAGAAGACTATTAATTTTATTAAGAATTATCCATCCAGACGGACATCCCCACCTGATGCTTTAAACCAACCAGTATTAATTCATATTTGTGGGAGAGATTTTTATTAAGATGAAAATCTATTATTTCAGCTTCCATTCCTGTAAGTAAAACAGTCTTGTAGTGAAAGGCTACACTAACTGTGAGTAAAACAGTCTTGTAGTGAAAGGCTACAATGACTGTATGAGTCTATCAGACACAGTATATTGTGTATCTGACTATATTTCAATAAGGTGTAATTCGAACAACATGTAACGAGTCTTTTAGCACTTTTTAAGAGCAACAACAACATTACTGTAATCCATGAAATTATTACGTGTACATGAAATTATAAATGAAGCAAGCCAACGATGAACTATTATAGCAAAAATGGACAACACTTTTATCTAAATCTTACAGCGAGACCGATGTTCCCCGCCTTAATCCCAAAATAGATATATTTCATTGATCTTTTTTTAAAGCATTGAGCAATCAAACTGCTCTTCACCCTGCTTATTAAATGATCATTATTAAACTTAACACTTTCAATCTGAATCAAATTGATCGTTTTCCAAAGCATTGACAAATTAAAATATTCTTCATCAAACCCAGTCGAGGTATTAACAAATGAACATCTACACCAATTTAACGCAGAGTTATTGTGTTCCAAAAGGTGTGACCGACAGATGAAAGAACTCAATTTAATAGTTCCTTGCTTTCCCTAAACGATGAGAAACAAATCCAAATATAGCTCTATAAAATTCCGCAGTGTGGCCAAGCCCGGACATAAGGCACCTGTCACAGACTTTGTCCAATACAAATTATCACTCAACGTATAAGAGAGATAGAGAAACGGGGTTTAACGTCCACTCAACACAAACTAGGTCATTTTGAGACTAACACATGGTTCAATTTTATTTCAATAATTCGCTGGCGCTTAGGGGTGTTTAGCAGTGGGAGGAAACCGTAGGACCTGGAGAAAACCCACAAGGTTGGACAGGCGAGTAGTACGTTAAACCTCATTTCATTTCATGATTAGGCCTAGTTATCTCAATGTGAGTAGGTACTTATTCTGCCTTGTCATTTACAACGCACACAGATAGTTTTACTGACTTTATTGATAAGAATATTTAATCTGGTATCAATAATAACGCCGTTAAAAGCCGTGATGACTCCTACACTACAATAACAATATGAACATTGTGAAAGTTTTTCAATCAAACGACATTAAGAAGGGAGGTAATTCTAAGCATTGAGTCATTCGGTATCGTTACTTCAAACATAATGAATACATCGTCTATTAGGTAACAGCAAAGTACTACATTACTTATCTCACTATGAGTGGTCTCACATTACATATATCACTTAGAGTGGTCTCACAATCACTTATCTCGCCGTGAGTAGTCTCTCAATATACGTTGCCCCACATTACTTACCTCTCTAAGAGTAGTCTCGCATTACTTTTCGCACTAAGGGTAGTCTCACATTACTTATCTCACTATGAGTAGTCTTACATTATTTATCTCACTAAGAGTTGTCTCACATTACTTATCGCACTATGAGTGGTCTCGCATTATTTATATCGCTATGAGTAGTCTCACATTTCTTATCTCACTATGAGTAATCTCACTTTACTTATCTCACTAAGAGTGGTCTCGCTTTACTTATCTGACTATGAGTAGTCTAGCTTTACTTATCTCACTATGAGTAGTGTCACATTTCTTATCTCACTAAGAGTAGTCTCACTTTACTTATCTCACTATGAGTAGTCTCACTTTACTTATCTCACTAAGAGTGGTCTCACATTTCTTATCTCACTATGAGTAGTCTCACATTTCTTATCTCACTATGAGTAGTTTCCCTTTACTTATCTCACTAAAAGTGGTCTCACATTTCTTATCTCACTGAGTAGTCTCGCATTACTTATCTCACTATGAGTAGTCTTACATTACTTATATCACTATGAGTAGTCTTGCACTACTTATCTCACTATGAGTAGTCTCACATTTCTTATCTCACTATGAGTAGTTTTGCATTACTTATCTCACTATGAGTAGTCTCACTTTACTTATCCCATTATGAGTAGTCTAATATTACTAATCTCACTAAGAGTGGTCTCACATTACTTATCTCACTATGAGTTGTCTTACATTTCTTATCTCACTGAGTAGTCTTACATTACTTATCTTACTAAGAGTGGCCTCACTTCACTATGAGTAGTCTCACATTTCTTATCTCACTATGATATAACAAGGCCTGTCATTGAGTCAACTGGTGTGGTTTCGAATCACCGGTTGTACGTGACAAGGAGTAGGGTTGCCTGTCCAACCTCATGGGTTTTCTCCGGTTTCCTCCCACTGCTAAAGACCCCTACGCGCAAGCGAATTATTGGAATAAAAATTAAAAACCATATGTTACTCCCGAAATGACCTAGTCTGTGTCAAGTGGACGTTAAACCCCATTTCTCTCTCTCTCTCACTATGAGAAGTAGTCTTATATTTATATTACTTATCTCACTATGAGTAGTCTCACATTTCTTATCTCACTATGAGTGGTCTCACTTTACTTATCTCACTAAGAGTGGTGTCACATTTCTTGTCTCACTAAGAGTGGTCTCACATTTCTTATCTCACTATGAGTGGACTCGCATTTCTTATCTCACTATGCGTGGTCTCACATTTCTAATCTCACCATGAGTGATCTCACTTTACTTATCTCACTAAGAGTGGTCTCACATTTCTTATCTCACTATGAGTAGTCTTACATTTCTTATCTCACTATGAGTGGTCTCGCATTTCTTATCTCGCCATGAGTGGTCTGACATTTCTTATCTCACTAAGAGTTGTCTCGCATTACTTATTTAAAATACTTAGCTTGCAATGATGTGTCTATTCAAACTCATGTTTCATGTCCTACTGAGCTAATGAGGACGGGCATATGCTATGCAATGTCTTATGAGGGTAATTTTGCCTGGTCAGCGGCGCTACGGACTACTCTTATTTTGAATTCAAACTGTCAAAGGCTCTTTCACATGCATGCCATGTGTACACAAGACCTCGGTTTTTGTTACCATTTGAACAACTATATATTATCTTTTGCCAGGATTCACGTCCTACACCAGATGAAGTTTCTTGGCCAACGCAGGGATCAAACACAGGACGTCCATGTTAATGAGCCAACATCTTACTCACTGAGCCACTGTGGCACCCCATTGTACATTACTTCATTCCCATTACCGAAAGGAAAAAAAAATGAAATGAAATGGGGTTTAACGTCCTACTGTTCTTCTCTGATTGGACTAATGAAGACGGGCATATGCCATACAGTGTGCTATGAGGGAAATTTTGCTCGGGCAGAGTCACTATGGCCTACTCTTATATCGAATTCCAACTGCCAAGGGACCTCGTTTTTCGTTCCATCCGAACAACTAGACAGCTATCCTTTTCAGCAAAAGAAAACAACAAAGAAAATTTAATTTGTATAGATTTTATATATGTATTTGTGTATAGGCTACATGACATAGCGCGGCCAATTAATTCATGATAATAACAGATCACTTGTAATGGCCAAAGACCATGACAATTTATTTACAACATTAAAATGGTAATATCAGTATATGACACAACCACAGGCTGAGAACAATATAATAAGTCCTTCTTCTTAATTAAATCATCTCTCTCTTACAAAAATATTAATACTAAGACCTCAATCAACTAGTAAGCATGTCATGCCAGGAAGAGACAATTCTTACTGATATCTAAATGGATGAAAAACTGTCCAATGAACTGGATAAAACATTTTGAATTGTCCAATGAACTGGATGAAGCATTTTTGAATTGTCCAATGAACTGGATAAATCATTTTTGAATTGTCCAATTAAATGGATGACTCATTTTTTTAATTGTCAAATTAAATGGATGAACCTTTTTTAATTGTCCAATCAACATCAAAATTAATATCAATATGAATATTAATAAACACAAAAACTATTACTATTTTAATTAAAGCTACTACTTGTTGAGGGTTTGCTTCTCTCAATAAAACGTTGCTAAAATTAAAATAGTAATTGTGTTCCATAGTATGTTTTTGTGTTTATTATGTGTGTCAATTGCTAAATGCGGCTCAAAGAAGACTATTAATATTATTAAGAATTATCCATCCAGACGGACATCCCCACCTGATGCTTTAAACCAACCAGTATTAATTCATATTTGTGGGAGAGATTTTTATTAAGATGAAAATCTATTATTTCAGCTTCCATTCCTGTGAGTAAAACAGTCTTGTAGTGAAAGGCTACACTGACTGTATGAGTCTATCAGACACAGTATATTGTGTACCTGACTATATTTCAATAAGGTGTAATTCGAACAACATGTAACAAGTCTTTTAGCACTTTTTAAGAGCAACAACATTACTGTAATCCATGAAATTATTACGTGTACATGAAATTATAAATGAAGCAAGCCAACGGTGAACTATTATAGCAAAAATGGACAACACTTTTATCTAAATCTTACAGCGAGACCAATGTTCCCCGCCTTAATCCCAAAATAGATATATTTCATTGATCTTTTTTTAAAGCATTGAGCAATCAAACTGCTCTTCACCCTGCTTATTAAATGATCATTATTAAACTTAACACTTTCAATCTGAATCAAATTGATCGTTTTCCAAAGCATTGACAAATTAAAATACCTAAGTGGCCAATATTCTTCATCAAACCCAGTCGAGGTATTAACAAATGAACATCTACACCAATTTAACGCAGAGTTATTGTGTTCCAAAAGGTGTGACCGACAGATGAAAGAACCCAATTTAATAGTTCCTTGCTTTCCCTAAACGATGAGAAACAAATTCAAATATAGCTCTATAAAATTCCGCATTGTGGCCAAGCCCGGACATAAGGCACCTGTCACAGACTTTGTCCAATACAAATTATCACTCAACGTGTAAGAGAGATAGAGAAATGGGGTTTAACGTCCACTCAACACAAACTAGGTCATTTCGGGACTAACACATGGTTCAATTTTATTTCAATAATTCGCTGGCGCGTAGGGGTGTTTAGCAGTAGGAGGAAACTGTAGGTCCCGGAGAAAACCCACAAGGTTGGACAGGCGACCCTACTCCTTGTCACGTACAACTGGGGATTCGAAACCACGCCAGTTGACTCAATGACAGGCCTAATGATACAGAGCGCACTACTAACCATTCGGCCATCCACCCCCCCTCTCAACGTATAAATATAAGCCTACGCATACAGAACCTGATATACGTTGTGTGATAATTCCTGCCTGACAATGACCGTGGCAGGTAATTTATGTCAAGGCTTGATTGTTGCTATAATGATTTACTTTGTTTTTACAATTGGCTTAGTTTGTTAATAATTACATGTGACAATTATATCATGCTGTACAATACCGACAAGTTGTATTAATAGTTGTCATAGTAACATTCTTCATACATTTAATCAACTCTAATTTATCAATTAACACGAGCCATGTTAAGAAAAGAAGAATTCTAAGAAGGAAATTTCTCAAAGCTGTTGATGATCAGATTTACATTTGTATTCTTCTGACAATGTTTAATTTTTTAATCCAACATATTTTTGTAATATTGAGAGAGAGAAATGGGGTGTAAGGTCCACTCGACACAAACTAGGTCATTTTGGGACTAACACATGGTTCAATTTTATTTCAATAATCCGCTTGCGCGTAGGGGTCTTTAGCAGTGGGAGGAAACCAGAGGACCCGGTGAAAACCCACGAGGTTGGCGAGGCGATCCTACTCCTTGTCACATACAACCGTGGAATTGAAATCACGCTAGTTGACTCAATGACAGACCTACTCTTATATAGAATTCCATACAAAAGACCTTGGTTTTACGTCATATCCGAATGACTATACCTTGCACCTTGCCGGGCTCTCTCCGACTGGACCACTGATAAGCAGGAACCAAGCCGAAAACTCCTGATGAACTTTGTCGGCCAACGCAGGGATCGAACACAGGACCTCCAGGTTAGCGAGCCAACATCTTACTCACTGAGCCACCGTGGCTCCCCGTTAAATGACGATCAACAGCTTTAAAGAAGATAGAAGAGAAGACAGATGATAGAAATAAGGAGAGAATATGGCAACTGTCTCTTAAAAATCTAACACAGATGTATTCTCAAAGAAGAAATAAACAATAAACTAAATGGTGAATTAACACTTTTACTCTTTCTCAATCTGATTAAAATACAGACCCTATTTCGTTTCGTTTATTATAGTTCAAAATTTGGTTTTACTTGTCTTCAACTACACTAGGATCTGACAGAGTTGTTATTTAACACGTGTTCTGGATAATGTGAGGGATTAGCCAATGAAACAGTCTGTTACGGCGAGCTTTAGACGTGTCTTGCACGGAACTGTGGGTAATCCACTAGAATCATCAATGGTGATTGGTTAATCAAATGTCTGACTTCATAGGGTCAAAAGCCGCTCATTTGACCTCTGACGCGATCTATCGCTACAACCGGTCGGATCTTCATGTAGCGTAGGCCATCGAAAGTATAAAAAAAAAAACGAAATATAGATCTGTATTTTAATCAGATTGACTCTTTCTTTAACATCTGATACCACTTCCCATTCACAGCTAATCTTTACTTAGCATTCAATTATCCTATATCGACCTATGAATATTTCTTTTCAGGTTAATATACATCAAGGCCACACGAATTTCACTTTCTGTTCTTTGGGAACACCTATCGATCTGCGATTTCTTCATAGAGAGAGAGAAATGGGGTTCAAAGTCCACTCGACACAAACTAGTAGGTCATTTCGGGACTAACATATGGTTCAATTTTATTTCAATAATTTGCGTAGGGGTCGTTAGCAGAGGGAGGAAACCGGAGGAGGACCGGGAGAAAACCCATGAGGTTGTCACATACAACTGGGGAATCAAAACCACGCCAGTTGACTCAATGACAGACCTTACGATACAGCGTGCACACGCTAACCAATCAGCCTTCCAACCCTTGCTGTACTTCGGGAACACCTATCTGTCTCCAATTTCTTCAGGAAACAGAACCTAATTTAAAAAAAGAACTTTGTTGCTCTTTGCACAAAAATTGAGTGGGTTATTTATTGAACAGGGAGGACCCCAAAGAACTAAAAATAAAATTAATCTGGCCTAAGTATCTAACTCTATACATACAAAGATTGTTTAAGACTTGTTAAGATATGCTCACCATCAAGATAAAAGTATAAATAAAGAGGCTCAAGTCGTTCATTAAAAAATAACATTTCTTAATTAAACATTCAAATCTCATTCAAAACAAATAAACTTAACAAATTAGACAAAATGATGAAAATGTTGCCATGACTACCTAACAAACCTGCAATATCAAGTTTCTTTACCTGTTTTTTTAATCCAAACAAAATGGCTGCCACAACAAAAACAGAAACCTTAAAGCAAGTTGTTTAGCTCACTGCACTGCAGATATAACGGTTTAACAAATACTATATTTACATTTATAACCGTATGACAAAAGAGTGTTAAGAGGAGGGAGGAGAAAGGAACAGCTAACACAGATTTACAAGACTGGCTACTCATTATACATCAATCATCTTATATATATCTATATAATATATACACAGTTATGTACAAATAACAAATATGTAAATCCTATTCACAAGTTCAACAATTTCTACATATAACAGACAAGGTTATTATTCTATGCTTCTAAATGTGTAAGTTTGACTTCTAAATGACAGCAAGTACATTATTACAGCCCTGCCCACAACACCCTGTATTTTATATTAGATCTATTATTAGATCAGGGATAACCCTTTCTATTATAAGATCAGGGATAACCCTATCTATTATTAGATCAGTGCTGAACCCCTTCTATCATTAGATCAGGGATGAACCCTACTATCATTAAATCAGAGATGAAGCCTATCTATTATTAGATCTGGGATAACCCTATCTATTATTAGATCAGGGGTGAACCCTATCTATTATTAGATTAGGGATGTCCCTATCTATTAATAGAACAGAGATAAACAGACAACGAAGACCTTTATATGTGACAAGGCAATGGTTGAGAACCATAATATATATTTTCTGTCGCACCTACAGAGAAAATAAATTGATCCAGAGAATACATTAGGCTAGAACTTTTAAGATGAAAATTGGGACAATGTGCTTGCTGCCAGATAATCATGATAGTGAATGGAATCGCATCAACAATGGCTGGTTAAAAGCTATTCACTGAGTATTATGAAATCAGGCACTTGAGAGATTGTTTAAAGGTGATTTTTGTATTTTGTTAATGAGAAGGCCGCACCCCTTTCAAATGATTTTCCAGAAATGATATTTACCTTCATGGTATCGTAATTAACTACTCACATTTAATCTTTTGGGTCAATCTGTGTCAAATCACCTGACGAGATCAAAAGTATCTCCTTCAAATTCGGTTTATATGCTTGCTTATTTTGGTTGTAAAAGCAGAATTTAAAACACCCTTTTGTCCAAAATAATAAAAAAAATCTTCAATAGCTTAGTTGGTCCATAAAGTAGGACATTAAACCCCATTTCATGTTTTCCAAAATAAAATTCTTGGTGGAATTATCTTTACAAAAATAACCTGAGCTACGTTACCCTGAATATTGGCATCCATCAAAATGAATAGGCCATATCTAAGGAACTGTCAACCATTGCAGAAAAAAAACAAGTATGTAAACCAATTTTCAGCAAAAACGAAATGGGGTAAGGATTACCTTTTCTCATTTTTGGGGATGACTTGACCCAGAATGCCCCAAACAGGATTTCAGAGGATGATGGGGGTGTCTAAAGTACCTACACAATCATGCCTTAAAAAAAGAAGTTACCTGCCCTATCTTTAATGCAATGGATAATCCAAGAGATCATAATTCTGTAGTAATACATTTCATTCTATTAATCTGCTACTGTATTCAACTGAAACTCATTATTTTCTATAACAATATTAGTAAATCATCAAATATGATACATAAAGATAGGGTCAGAGAAATCCTATCCCTAAAAACTTGTCTATAATTTTATCCAAAATGAAAATAACATTTCTAAAATAGTGTTTCTGTGATATGCAGACAAAACGAGGCTAGATAATAATGTGGTGAATGTATAGTAATAAGTCAATTTATTATCATTGAACAGTCCCAGAATAATAAGTCAATTTACTATCATTGAACATTCACAGAATAATAAGTCAATTTATTATCATTGAACAGTCCCAGAATAATAAGTCAATTTATTATCATTGAACATTCACAGAATAATAAGTCAGTTTATCATTCAACATTCACAGAATAATATATCAATTTATCACTGAACAGTCACAGAATGTCAGTTTATCATTAAACATTCACAGAATAATAAGTCAGTTTATCATTGAACATTCACAGAATAATAAGTCAGTTTATCATTGAACATTCACAGAATAATAAGTCAGTTTATCATTGAACAGTCACAGAATAATATGCAACAATTATTATTTCACTCAATAAAAACACAGAAATCAAATATATCGTACTTCATATTCAATCACTGAAATTTAAACAATAATATATATATTCATATATCTATATAGGTCAATATAGGTCAAGGTCATGCTGTGAGCGTTTTTACTTTTTTTTAAAAAAAAGTTCCGTCAAGACCAATTCTTTTTCTCGAAAAAAACAATCACTATATATAGATATATACACCTTTTTCCCCTTTAGAATTATTCACCGTTTTACTTTCACAAATCAACAAACGCACAGTAAATAATTTTTTTCTATTTTAGTTCACTCATGTATTAACATTCCAACAAAAGTCCCCATATAGCACTTTCAACAACACCACTTCTATGTTACTGAATAACAATGTCCCCAGTTTGTTACTGTATAACAATGTCCCCAGTTTGTAACTGAATTACTGTATAACAATGTCCCCAGTTTGTTACTGAATAACAATGTCCCCAGTTTGTTACTAAATCACTGGATAACAATGTCCCCAGTTTGTTACTGAGTCACTGAATTACAATGTCCCCAGTTTGTTACTGAATAACAACACTCTTGAATAACACACTAATATGTTACTGAGTAACAATGTCACTATTATGTTACTGAATAACAACACTATCTAATGAATAACAATGTCACGGTTTTGTTGCTGAATCAACTTTCTGTTATCGAATAATGTCACCATTGTATTGCTGAGTAGCAATGTCACCATTGTTATTTGGTAACAACGACACCATTTTTTTAGTAACAACGTCACTATCGCGTTATTGAGTAACAATGTCTCCATATGTTGTTGAATTTGAATATTATCACAATCTCCATATTTCATAAGTCTACTGGCAGTTAAAATGCCTAAATACTCTTTCTCTCTCTGTACAATAACATAATTATATATATTTATAACAAACTTGATAATAATATTTATAAACCGTGGATAACGTCTTCTAGTGTCTGTTTCAAAATCCACTTTTATATCTTCTCCGACCGCTCTCCATTTCTTAAGGCGCGAATCTTAACCTGAGTAAATTACCTGGAGTGTCATACAGCCCCAGTTTTCTACGATTGAATACAAAATTTCACTTCTAAATGAGATCACACTTTTGCCACTGTCACACGACGTCACGACTGTAAATGATGCCATTTGCCACTGTAAATGACGTCAGTCATCATATGTCACGACTGTAAATGACGTCATTTGCCACTGTAACAACTGTAAATGGTGTCATTTCCTACTGTCACACATCACAAGTTTAAATGACGTCATTTGCCACTGTTACATGGCACTACCACCACCTCGAAACACAGAATGAGCAACTGATTCACTTAATAACTTTTGTCAATTTCTCTACTTCTTCATTTTACCTATTTTTTTTATAAAGTGCACATTCTTGTAAAGTATTTTTTTCACTGACGTTGAAAAAGAGTGCACTTATAATTTTTCTCAGCTACTTGATTTGTTTACAAAAATAATATATTTTATTGTTTTTTTAACGTTTGAAAGCCCAGATGAATATATTTTTTTTCCCTTCATGCCCTAGTATGTAAGATGGCGTCATTCTGATAGTAATTGTTGTAACAAACTATTCTTCTGATCAGCAGGTTTTATATCGTCTATAGGTGTCTAAAAAAAAAAAAAAAAATTTGGTTTAAATCCACTTAATACAATATTATTAAGTACAGACATTAAAGATAACCAGTAAAGCTTCAATTTTTAAAAAAATAATGCAAATAATTATGTAAACATATCCTTTCCATAAGTATAACACGAACCCGAACGTCAATATTAGTAACTTTCTGTCAATAAACAATCTGTGACGTCATTTTAGTCCTGTTCATATTCTAGTCTATATTTCTATGAGCCGAAGGACTAAAACGACATCACAGATTGTTTATTGAAGCTTTTCCGGTGACGTTTAATACAAAATTAACAAACATTTGTGACAATCAAGTCTATGACCATAGGCTTATGCAATCCTACATCCTATTAACACAAAACTGTGACAATTAAGTCTATGACTATAGGTTTATGTAATACAAACATTTGTGGCAAACAAGTCTTTGACCATAGGCTTATGTCATACGGACATGAAGTAACTATCAGAAATAAATAAAATTTTATCCTTCTTCCCGTCACATAGGGTAAACAAAGCATATACCGATATATATGTATATAGCCATATTCATAAATATATCTGTTTGATTTGAAAATCAATAGGCTTCTTCAAGTCCATTCGATGTTAACATTAGCCTCTCTACAGAGTACACAAGCCATTGTGGTTGCCGACCACTTTTCTAAGATGTTATTTTTGTGTATAAAAACTAAGAGGAGCTGTAAAATAAGATAATGAAAGACAACATACTCTTGGTTCTTTTTGAACAACATTAACAGATGTGATATGTTCGGGTTTTCCTCCGCCTTGTTTAACCGCTTGTTTTAATTGTTGATTGGTTAGTAATTGGTTACGAAAAACACTGGTGGCTTTAGCTGCCGGATCTTCTTGATCTGTAAAAGTATCAAATAAATATCAAACGAAATCAAAATGGGTTTAAGGTCCTACTGTTTTTGCATCATTCCGAATGGCTATATCGAATTCTAACTGCCAAGGGATCTTTCACGTGCATGCCAATGTGTACACGAGATCATGGTTTTCCGTGCAATCCGAACGACTAGACAGCTGTCCTTGTCAGGGCCACCATCCTGCACCAATGACATGTGGCTCCCATCTTGGTTATGCAGATAGGGAACAGGGCATGAGCTGCAGGTGTCCCCTTCGTTTATGGGCCATATCATAAGCAGCTTAAAGCTAACCCGCGGTATGCAGGCTATCAAATAACAGATGGGGAACCATGATGTCAATTCAATGCATAGGTGAAGAAGGAAATTTTTCTCCAGTTTCCTGTTTCCGTGACTACTAACCTGGTGTAGACAAGGCACGGAATTGTTCGTAACGTTTCCGGGCTTCATTTCTTGACTGCGATAATACATCTTCATTTTTCATATCATCATAATCCCCTAACCCACCTCCACCATGCTCTTTAGCCATATCATTTACTGTAAATACAAACACAGCCATATTAGTTATATAATCAACAATACAACCCAGCCACCAGACTATACATGAATGGCCTCATGCAGTCCTTCACGTTTAAGGTGCGCTTTCGCTCCTGCTCCTCTTGGTGCACCATGACTCCTGCAAATTATTTAAATCGCCCTCCTAAATACGGAGATTAATGCAGTCCTTCACATTTAAAGTGCACTTTCGCTACTGCTCCCCTTGGCACACCTTGACTCTTGCAAATTAGTTAAATCACCCTCCTAAATAAGGAGATTAATGCAGTCCCTCACGTTTAAGGTGCGCTTTCGCTCCTGCACCTCTCGACGCACTATGACTCCTGCAAATTAGTTAACTGGCTCTCCTAAATATGGAGATTAATGCAGTCCTTTACATTTCAGGTGCGCTTTTGCTCCTGCTCCTCTTGGTGCACCATGACTCCTGCAAATTAGTTAAATCGCTCTCCTAAAAAAGGAGATTAATGCAGTCCTTCACATTTAAGGTGAGCTTTCGTTCCTGCTTCTCTCAGTTAACTGGCTCTCCTAAATATTGAGATTAATAATCTACTTTCAGTTTTTGTTTATTTTTAAACTGTATATGTCCAGGCTATCAGTTTCCATGCTGATAATTCTGACGATAACATATTCACCAAATAATAATCAAGAATTCCTTTAAAAAAACACTTCTTAATTATATTGCAAGAGTAATTCTACATTTTCTTGAATTAAGAGAGCCAAATTGTATTTATGGTTTACATATTAATTCAAGAAAATGCAGAATTACTCTTGCAAAATAATTAAGAAGAGTTTTTTATGGGAGTTTTTTTCTCATTTTTGAAATTGGCAGGAGCTGTTTAAACATGAAGAACTGTTAATGAAGACAGACTAAAGCTATGCAGTGTCCTATGAGGGTCATTTTGTCTGGACAGCAATTAAATTCAAACTGTCAAGCCTTATTTATATAATAGCTGATACAACCCAACCACCAGACTGTTCATTAATTCACCAGAGAGAGAGAGAGAGAGAGAGAGAGAGAGGGAGGGTTTAACTCCACTTTACTGCACTGAATGGCCTATTGAAGACAGTCTAAAGAGCCATACAGTGTCCGACTTATGAACCATGGCCATTTAGTAATGACAACTTTTGTCATTAAATGATATAAGTGATCATTATTCTAAACTAGTGTTTAGTATATATAGAAAGTGGTTAGAAATTAGCAGGTGTGTAACTAGTTGTAAAAGTTATCACTAATGGTGTAAAAGCATGACTAAAAGATATCACTACTGGTGTAAAAGCGTGACTAATTATAACACCCATCACCATTGAAAACACAAGCCTGGCTAATAGTGGTGTATATCATTCAATAGTCACAGTTTTAACATCTTAGTGACAAAACACTTACTTAATGACTACTGACTGATTACTAACAATTTTAATGTGTGTGAGTTAGTTGTATTTTACGTCCGCTTCCACTGAGGTGATATCGCAGACAGATTTAATGAAGTAATACACATTATGTGTATAAAATGACATATTTGAGGTGCTAGTGTCGTATATATTCATTTATAAAACTTTAAAAGTTATTTGTTGATTAGTCACTCACTGATATCAACTTTACAGTGATACCACTAATTCCTTTCGAAGGGGCGAGTTGACAATGGGATTTAACGTCCACTTGACACAAGCTAGGTCATTTCGGGACTAACACATGGTTCTTTTTTATTTCAATAAATCACTTGCGGGTAGGGGGTCTCTAGCAGTGGGAGGAAACCGGAAGACCTGGAGAAAACCCACAAGGATGGATTGACGACACTACTCCTTGGCACATACAACCGGGGAATCGAAACCACGCCAGTTGACTCAATGACAGACCTTATGATACAGCACGCGAGTGCTAACCATTCGGCCATCCAACCCCGCTATTGCCAAATCAATCAAACCACAAAGCAAACCGTACATGATAAACTTGTTAATTTTGGGACTAACATATGGTAAATTTTATATCTATAATTCACTTGCAAGCAGGGGTCTTTAGCTGTGGGAGGAAACACAGAGGACCTGGAGAAAACCCACCAGGTTAGGCAGGCGATCCTACTCCTCGTCACATACCTTGCCACTTAACGCATACATTAGACCACTGGACCACTCAACTCTATCAGTGATATTTATAATTAATAATGCTAGGTTCCCACTATCACGGTTGCACTACGATTGAAATCACGGTTTTAATCGTGGTGATCCTATCAGGTCTTATCATACATATATTGAGGTCTAAATCATGTTGATTGTATCGAAACGTATCCGAAAGTATCTGCACGTACCAGATCGTGGACTCAACAGGGATAATCCTATCATAACACATCACATGACAGTGGGAACCCCTATAATGATATTCATAATTAATAGTGATTCTATAAACATTAATATAAGCATGTAAGTGTATCGGACTCAGACCACTCAACCAAGTTGCAATAGTTATAGTTATACTAGTTCTATAAATATAAGCATGCTGGCTTATGATTTGATGAAGGCCTATATCATAATCAAAAAGTAAAAGGGGTTGATTTTTTTAACTGTATTATTTTTAGTGTTTTTATTTATGTATAAATATAATTATTACTTGTTTTTAGAATATCTAATGGTAAATATAAGTATATTTATCACCCAATAATACATTCTACAGTAGACATTGTGGGATATATCATAATCTACTGCGATATTTCCTTAGGAGATATGGCTTTACATCAATTTGATTGTTCAATTAAAAATTAACTACTTTATTTTTATTTTCAAAGAACAATTCATTTTTTATTAAAAGTAAGTTCTTTTTTTTCTTAAAAAGAACTATTTTTTATTTAATTGACCGTGAAGCAAACACTGGGTCAATATATAGGACTTGCAATAGTTGAATTGCTGTCAAAAAAATGATGTATCACTACGCCATAATGTAATCAGGTTCAGTAAAAGTGAAATTTATAGCAAAGAATTATATTTATTTATTTGTGCATGTAAGAAAGAATTGGGTCATAAATAAAATCTCCTACTCATCTTTTTTGATATAAAACAATATCAAAACTCGTCGATAAAGTAAAAAAAAAAAATCGGCAAAGCCTCGTTTTTTTTTTACTTTATCGACTTGAGTCAATATTTTTTGATATCAAAAAAGACTCGTAGGAGATTCTGTATATAATACTTGTTTCTAGAATATCTAATGGTAAATATAAGAATATCTAATGGTAAATATAATTCTTACTTGTTTCTAGAATATCTAATGGTAATTCTCCTCCTGTATCATAACTTAAACCAGCTTCATGTGGTAGTTGTAACTGTTGGGACTGTAATTGTTTCTCTGACCGGGCGTTACAGATATTGCGTAATTCCTGCTTCACGTACTGCGATGTTGAATTAGGCACCATATCCATACTCTTTTTACTGATTAAAATAAAACAAATAATATTAAGATAGGTTGCCAGGCAATGGAACATACGCCCACAGCAGCTAACTCGTCTGGGCAGTCGACAAGGGTTGTCATATATTTTTGCTTTTGTAGGTAAAAGAAGCATTTATAAGACACTGATATCAATTTCATACAGATCTAAAGTTCACAAGGTTCAACAAAGTGAAACAGGGGCCATAACTGTAGAAGTTATTAACAGAAATTGCTTAAATTCAATAGACCTCTTCATTTTGCAAATCTCAATAATGCATTTAAATTTAATACAGATCAGATAGTAACTTTTAGTGGTTAGAGCGTTCACAAAGTTCTACAAAGTGAAACAAGGACCATAACTCTAGAAGTAATTAACAAAAATTGTTGAAATCAAATGGGATACTTCGTCTAACTAATGTAAACAACATTTCGAAGTGACCAGATAATAAATGTAAATGGACGGAGGCAACCGCAATATACAACCACATTTCCATGTGGGCGTATAAAAATGCCTGTTTACCATATTTCTAATTATTACAAACACCCTTTGATCTAATATATACTAAACACCATTGTGTTTGGATAGTGCGTCATCAAATTCCTGATTTAAAGGGTTCTTTTAGGTCATAATTTAACCCTTTCAATTTGGACTCCCTGAAACTTCATGTGGTATGTAGTATTTATATCTAGTATATACAGTATAGTAAACACCATTTATATGTAGTATATATAGTAAACACCATTATATTTAGTATATATAGTAAACACCATTTATATCTAGTATATATATAGTAAGTAAGTATATATATACACCATATCTAGTATAGTAAACACCATTTATATCTAGTATATATAGTAAACACCATATAGTAAACACCATATCCAAGTTGAAAGAGAGATCATATACCAGTGAAAAGGGGAGTGAGAAAGAGAAATGGAGAGAGAGAGAAATGGGGTTTAACTCCATTCCACACAAACTAGGTCATTTCGGGACTAACATATGGTTTAATTTTATTTCAATAATTTGCTTGCGTATAGGGGTCTTTAGCAGTGGGAGGAAATGGGAGGACCAGAAGAAAACAAACAAGGTTAGTCAGGCGACCCTACTCCTTGTCACTTACAAGCGTTTAATCGAAACCACTCAACTAGACAGCTGTTGATGGAAATTATGATTTCATGCGCATTAAGCCAATTTTGAAAACCTGGGCTGAAAATCATTGCTAACGTTAGATGCCTTGATGCAGATTTACCTTAGACCAGCTGATACTAAATAATGTTATTTTTACTGATGAATTTAATTCTATCAATAGAATGTCATAGTAACTTATCCAGGCCATAATCAACTCTCGATGGCATCAGATTTCTCCGATATTAAATAGATTAGAATGGTTCATCTATATTTTGATTCAAGCTAAAAATGGAGGAGCGAGAATTAGCTTCGAACAACCAGTACGGTGGTTGAAATTATTGCACACGTCTTGTCAAACCTTAATGGCTAATATCTTTGCTTGCAATAGAGTAATTTAAATGAAATTTTCAAATTATTCATTTTGCATTATCTATTTTCAAACTATTATAGCAAGAATGGCTAGCTCTTTATCTAAATCTTACATAATGTATCTTTAAGTAAGTTCGATATGATAAAATCGCCGATGATTTTATCACGATATACCGAAAAATCTGTATATTGCCCAAGCCTACTTTAATAAAATAACTTCGCCCAACCCTACTTTAATAAAATAACTTACCTTTCTAGACCAGACATTGGAGAATCTATAAAATTAGACAAGTCGAAATCATTGAAGGATTGGCTGGTATTATTAGAGCTGACCGATGTTGATAAAGGAGTTGCTGAATAACTTGGAGGGGCCGACATGGGTTGGGAGTTGTTGAAGCCACCACTGGACATAGCACCCTGACTGTAAGGTGGACTGACTTGTTGGGGTCCTGGAGGAGGAGGCGGGGGTGGACGACTCGTACTGTTAGGCGACATCAACATGGGATCTGGACTGTTACCAAATGGACTGTGGGGGGTTCTGGGAGATCCCCGACCTACAATATCAACATAAAAGATTATTTTCTTGTAGGCTATGTGTCTTATAAAAGGCTTTTTTTCAATCTATTAGACATGCCATGAAATAAGAATTTGATCATGTGCAAATTACAATAAATAGGTCTACATTCAATTAATAATTTTTATGGGACAATCGCTAAAATGACATTTTAGGGGGGTGGAAAAATCTGAGGTAAACAAAACATTTTAAACTTTGTCCAGATGGCTTATTCCAACTGTCAAGGGATTTTTACGTGCACACACAACCTTGTTTTTTCATCCCATCTGACACTGTCCTTGCCAGCCCTATGTCTTGTACCACTGACAATAGAACCCTGTGACAGAATATCCTGAGGAACTTTCTCGGCCAAAACCGGGCGCAAACTCAAGACGAAATGAAATGGGGTTTAACGTTCTACTCCTAAACTAGGCTAATGAAGACAGGCATATGCCATACAGTGGGAAATTTTGCCCAGGCAGTGACGCTGCGGCCTACTCTTATATCGAATTCCAACTGCCAAGGGATCTTTTGCGTGCACGCCAATATGTACACAGGACCTCGGTTTTCCGTCCCATCCGAACAACTAGACAGCTGTCCTTGTCAGGCCCTCCGTCCTGCATCACTGACAAGGGGAAACCACGCCCGAACCCAAGATCCCTTGGTTTGTGAGCTTATGGTCTTGAAGTGAAAGCCCTAGTCTTATGGCACGAGTTTTGTATTTTACCTGGAGGTAAACTCATCTGTCTTTGTAACATCTGTCTGGCATACAACTGTTGATTTTGAGGTGATTGTGGCAGCAGACCCATCTTGGACTGATTACCAGTAAACTGGGTATCTGGTAGCGTAAAACCACTAGGTGGAGGAGCAACACCAGAGTTGGGTATATTACCACCAGATAAAGATCTGTGACGCTGTATATTATATTGTCCTGTCTGTAATAGGAATATATATATATTACACATCTTAGGAGACAGAAAGAGAGAGAGAGAGAGAGAGTAATGTGGGTTAACATCTGAGGAGAGAGAGACAGTGTAAATAAATTGGTCTATGCAATAATTTGGTATATTAAATTGTCCTGTTTGTGATAGGAAATAGTTACAAATCTATATAATTTACACATCTTAAGAGAGAGTAATGGGGGTTAACATTGTCTTGTCTGTAATAGAAATTAGTTGAAACACTATATAATTTACACATCTTAAGAGAGAGATAGAGAGAGACAGAGTAATGTGAGTTAACATCTGAGGAGAGAGATAGTGTAAATAAACTGATCTATGCAGTAAGAAAGAAATGGGGGTTATGCATCTTAGGAGAGAGAGATGGAAAGAGTGAAATGTAAATAAATGGGTTTATGGATCGAGAGAGAAATGGGGGTTAACATCTGAGGAGAGGGAGAGAGAGAGGCGGGGGGGGGGGGAGAGAAAGAGAGAGAGAGAAATGGGGTTTAACGTCCACTCGACACAAACTAGGTCATTTCGGGACTAACATATGGTTTAATTTTATTTCAATAATTCGCTTGCGCGTAGGGGTCTTTAGCAGTGGGAGGAAACCGGAGGACCCGGAGAAAACCCACGAGGTTGGACAGGCGACCCTACTCCTTGTCACGTACAACCGGGGATTCGAAACCACGCCAGTCGACTCAATGACAGACTTTATGATACAGCGCGCGCACGCTAACCATTCAGCCATCCAACCCCCCGGGGAGAGAAAGAGAGAGAGTAGTGTAAATAAATTGGTCTATGCAGTGAGAGAGACATGGGACATAAACTCGGCCATTTTGGCACCAATATAATATACAATTCTATTTCAATCATTCACAACGGAAGGAAATCAGACGACCTGGAAAAACTCACGAGGGTGGGCAGGCACCATTGTTTTACGGAATCCACAAACTACAGATTAACCCTTTCATTAGGTTTCAATCTGGAACCGAGAATAGCTTAGATGACAGTAAACCACAATTGTGAATAGCGATTTATTAGTTATTTATAATTTATTTCTTTTTTGGCCAATCTGAATTGTCCATAGACATTGTACCTTAAAAAATATGGTGGTGCCTTTATCAAAGAGAAAGAGAGAGAAATGGGGTTTAACGTCCACTCAACACAAAATGTCTTTTCGGGACTAACATATGGTCCAATTATATTCAATAATTCACTTGCATGTAGGGGTTTTTAGCAGTGGGAGGAAACTTCACCACCCAAAGAAAACCCGCGAGGTTGGATAGTTGATCCTACTCCTTGGCAAGTACATACTGCCAATCCAAACCATGCCATTAAATGTGTAATACTATGAAGTTGAATTTTGCCAAGACAGTGGAAACCTCAGGACACAAACAAAACCCAAATGGTTGTATAGCGGACCCTACTCCTCATTTGGTACAAACTGGGAATCCTATAAAGGAGAACTCTGCCGAGACAGCATAAATAGAACACATTATAATATTAAGAAAAATTTGTCACTTACCATGCCCGTTTGTTGTGGTCGCATATTCCACTGTTGTTGTTGCGATGGGGCGTTAAAGTGGGGAGATAACTGTGAGGGGGGAGTGGAAGGAGGTAACATGGGACTAAGAGGTTGTAAATTCCCTGTGTTGTAACGAGGAGATAATGGACTTGGTAAACTTTGACCTCTCTGAAATAACAAACAGATTTAATTTAATTTGCTGACTTTGCATTTATGAAATAAAAATTACAGCAATATAAATTTAAAACATAAATTTCAAAACAATAACCAAATTACCAGATTTCTGTTTTTCGGTGTACATATAAATAAATATCCAATTTAATCATAAAAAGATGTTTTGTTTAAAAAGTTCAAAACTAAAAAATTTGGTAACTAAAAGTTTTTGAACAGTTTTTAAAAAAAGTCTTTTTCCCAAGGTTGTACCCAACTTCATGGTTCAATTTCATTTCAATAATTCGCTTGCGTGTAGGGGTCTTTATCAGTGGGAGGAAACCAGCGGACCCACAGAACCCACGAGGTTGGACAGGCGACTCTACTAATTGTCACACATAACCAGGGAATTGAATCCACACCAGTTGACTCAATGACAGACCATATGAAACAGCGTGCACATGCTAACCATTTGACCATCCAACCCACCCAGAAGTTGTGAAAGTTATAAACTAACCTGAACTGGTAATGTCACATTAGGAGCATGACCTGTATTCATTAGTTCATTTAAATTCTCTGGAAATGGTGGTTGATTACCATCTAAACTATTACTCTACAATAAACACAACAATAATTAAATCACTTTGACGCTGATCAAAAACAGGGGAGCATCAAGAGTATCAGGCGTGCTCAGCAGGACCGTGGCAAGAGATATAAATGATATGGAAATGGGCTTTAACGTCCTACTATTCTGTTCCGATTGGTCTAATGACGACGGGCATACGCCATACAGTGTGCTATGAGGGAAATTTTGCCAAGACTGCAATGCTATGGCCTTCGAATTCCAACTGCCAAGGGATAATTTACATGCAATCCAATGTGTACACGGAACCTCAGTCTTTCATCCCATCCAAATGACTATACATTGTCCCTTGCCAGGCCCTTGGAAATTTTGCCAAGACTGTGGTGCTACGGCCTTCACTTATATCGAATTCCAACTGCCAAGGGATCTTTTACATGCACGCCAATGTGTAGACAGGACCAAATGACTATACATTGCCCTTGCCAGACCCTCGGTCCTGCATCAATGACGAGAAGAAACCACAAGGAAAATCCTGATGAACATTTTCATTCAATGAAGGGATCAAACACAGGACCTTTATTTTAGCGAGCTAACATCTTACTCACTGAGCCACCGTGGCTCCCTTAAAGGGACAATAACACTCTTGCTGGATTGACAGCTCCAGAAAATAAATAATAGCCTTATTCTAACTACTAGTTGTTTAAGTGTCCTACCTGTTTTGTAAATTATCCATTACATCCTATTTTACTTGTCCAGAGGGTTCGAAAATATTTTTAAATCCAAGTCACATTTGAAAAGGTTTACATTAGGCTTTTCACATCATTTAGTAGAATTTTTCCAATTTTTTAAATTAGGTGTGATAAGATGAAATTTGTATCACCAATTAATTGGAATATTGTAAAATAGTACAATTTGTTGACCAGAATAAAGATTGTGACATATTATTCAGTTACAACAAGAGTGGTATTGAGCCTTTAAAAGGATAAACATATTGTAAAAGTATCTTACTGCTTGAAATCGTGGACCAAACTGCCTCATATGTTGTTGTTGTAGTAATCTCTGTCGTTCCACAGCTTGTAAACGTTGTCGCTTCTCAAACTGTTTTTGTTTTTGTTGTTGAAGTATAGATTGGCGAACCTGGGCTCCCATAGCACTCTGATTCATACCACGGAACATATGACGTGTTGGAGGCTGTCCTGGTATACCACCTAAAACAAAACATTGTATATATAAATATTAATACATTTCAAATTTCAAAGTTAGAGGAAGAAAGAGAGAGAAATGTGGTTTAAACGGCCACTTGACACAAACTAAGTCATTTCGGGACAAACTTAAGGTTCAATTTTATTAAATAATTCGCTTGCATGTAGTGGTCTTTAGCGAGGAATCAAAACCACTTGCCACAATGACAGACCTTATGGTTTCACGCACACACGTAAAACCACTATGGCCTACTTATGTCAAATTTCCCCTGTCAAGGTTTTCTTTTAATGTGCACACAGGACCTCAGGTTTTTTGTCCCACCCGAACGACTAGACAATGTTCCTCGTTAGGCCTTCTGTCCTGCACCACTGACAAGAGAGAAACCATGCCGGAAAATCCTGAGGAATTTTCTGTTCCAACAACAGAATCGAATTTGGGACCCCCTGCCGGTTAGTGAGCCAGTATCTTACTCCCTGAGCTACCGAGGTTATCATTTTTGAAAAAACTAAGAAAGAAAAAAATGTTTAGAAAATAAAATGACAAATTATATATCTTACCCTGTGGTTGTGAAAAGCGAGGCCCATGTTGTCCCACGGGTACCCCTTGTAACGCTGGGTTGTATCCGGGTGGTAGTCCAGAACAATTAGGCACCTGTTGATGATTATACTGTCCATCTATACCCGGAGGTAACCCACCCATACCTTGTTGACCAAGACTTTGATTCATACGATTCTGGGCTTGCGATGCCATCTGTCTGTTCAAGAGCTCGGACATCATTGGTTGACTAAAGTTAGTATTGTTGACGTCTTCTCCCATTAGCTGACGTTGAATCGCGTTAATAGCCATTTGATCACTAGCATCTTGACTATTATAGGCAGGCGGGTTCTGACTTGCGCTGCTTAATAGAATATCAATATCAGACCAATTATTAGAGTCTCCTATCAGCTGCTCTAATTGGCTGATGAGTGCTGCGTCATCAGTGGAGGGCACGTCTGTAGAATTTGTTGAAGGGGGTTGCGACTGTTTGGGGGGTGTTTGTTGTTGTTGGTGATGGGGGTTTGTTGAGGGGTATGAGGGAAGATTTGAGGGTTGTTGATGATGCTGTTGTTGTTGTTGTTGTTGTTGTTGAGTATGGGGTTGTTGTTGAGACGGTTGTTGTTGGTGTTGTTGTTGTTGTTGTGGATTGGAACTGTTGCTGTTAAAACTTATATCTTGTTCCAAGTCAGCAGCCTGCTGTAGGATTTGTTGTAGTAGAGGGTCGCTGGTGTCACCGTTATTATCGACCTCCATTGATTCCGATTGGTTCAACAACTGCTGGATGGCGTCGAGCTGGCTGTTCTCACTTTCGTAATTCGAGTTCAGGAACGAATCTTGACTGGATTCACTAAAGGGCGGGTAACTCTGATTAGGCTTGGTGTTACCTGGGAAGGGAATATTTGGATTAGTCTGTGGATTATCCCGTGGGTTCGGCATGTTACCCTCCTTATCCTTATTCTCGTTCTTCACCTGTATCAGACGCTCAATTATATTTTTGGGAATTCTACTTTGGGGAACCAAGGTCGGCTTTACCGTCTGCTGGGTACTTAAAACCATATTTTCCTTCGCAGCTTTTTTCGACAACAATTGAGCCAGGAGAGCATTTTTCTGGGATAGACGACTCTGACTCGGTTCCGTGTCGGACATGTCAGTGCTATCCACATCGGATGCCGATGCCTTTCTTTTCTTTTGTACACGGAGCCTCATTTCCATCTCGCGTGTTGTATTGGTATTCGAATCGCGCTCCCACAACGAATTTAACAAACTGTCTAGGGTTTTATTCTGCATGAGGTTGGCATCAGTAGCAGATTTCTTATTGTTGCTGTTGAACATCCGTAATATAGATTCATCCATCAATGGATGTTGCTGGGAAGGATTTGGCTGGGAAGAGGATGAGGGTTGGAGATCCTGGTGACCTGACTGATGCCGTGATCTTGATCCACTGTCTGCCTCTCTAATGGTTGTTTCCTACAGACGAAAATATAAATAAATCAGCTGATAATTAATAAAAAATTTGGGCTTGCACGACCATTCCAATAAGGGCCATTATTTGGCAGATTTGACCAATTTCCTCAAATTGGGCCCCGCAGCTCACCAACCTAAAAAATTTTCAGACTGCCAGGTGTGGCTATTTTCAGGTATTAATCAACTGATAATTGTGAAGTAAAGCATAGTTGGCCTTCAATTTGACTGAATATAGGCCTAGTTAATGTAATTCATATCCTGCAATATACAAATATTCATATCCTGTAACTTTCGGCCCCCCCAAAATAGGTCCCACATTTTCTACAACAGTAAACCAGGTAGCCTATCGTACATGCATTTTTGATTAACAACAGGATTAGACAAGAGTGGATGCTATACAATATACTGAAAACTGAAAGTATACATATTTACTTGACCCTTTAAAACCCGCGAGTGAAAGTTTATGAACATATAATGAACACACCCTTGTGAATCAAAGTTTATGTGTGTGCAAGTTTGAGAATACTTAAAATACAGATTTAATGCTAGCGTACCATTATTTCATATAATGGTAATGGCAAAGTGCCAAGCGTACATTATTTATACTAGTTGAAATATTGGACCCGTGCTGGATAGTGTCTGTATTTTAAGTTCTTTAATGCGTAATATATAGATATTGCCCTTGTGCTAAACACACTCGTGCAATATCAATATATTACTTAATGTCTCGCACTCGACCATTAAACTACACTTAATGTATATACCCCTGTGAATCGAAGTTTATTAGAGAGAGACCAACACGATCCCCCCCGCAAAGTTTATGAACATTTATTATACATACCCCTGGAGTTAACATACTATTCTCTTCTTCTTGTAATAATTTCTGGAGAAGTTCACTTGGAACTTTTTTGGAATCACCTGTTTCTTCCACTTCTTCTTCTTCTCCAGTCGCTTCTCCTCCATCTGGACTATCGTCATTCAATAATTGCTAAAAAAGAAAAAAAAAACAACATATCACAATTATATTTATTTAAGATAGGTTGCCAGACAATGAAATGAATGCCCACATCTGCACTATCATCATTCAATAATTGTTATCCTCCCCCCCTCCAAAAAAAAAAAACACGGCAACTTACATGTGGCCCCTGGCTGAAAATGTCTGGGGCACTTGCATCACACAAATGATCCCTGGATGTGGTCCTGGTGGCCAGGTAATGAAACATACACCCACAGCAGCAGAAAAGAAATGACATGAAATGGGGTTTAACATCCTGCTTGTTGGCACCGACAGGGCAAATGAAGGCAGATATATGCCACCGCCCTACTATACATCAGATTTCAACTGCCACAGGTATGTGTATGCCTAGCCAGGCTCTACATCCTGTGCCACTGACAAAGGGGAGAGAGAGAGAGAGAAATGGGGTTTAACGTCCACTCGACACAAACTAGGTCATTTCGGGACTAACATATGGTTTTAACTTTATTTCAATAATTCGCTTGCGCGTAGGGGTCTTTAGCAGTGGGAGGAAACTGGAGGACCCGGAGAAAACCCACGAGGTTGGACAGGCGACCCTACACCTTGTCACGTACAACCGGGGATTCGAAACCACGCCAGTAGACTCAATGACAGGCTTTATGATACAGCGCGCACGTGCTAACCATTCAGCCATCCAACCCCCCTCCACTGACAAAGGGAAACAAATATGTCAATCAATGTCAAATAAAGTTCGGGTATTGTCTTTCCGACGTGAATGACTCAATACTGTACCTTTCCAGACTCTCCCATCCTTTATCACTGACAAAGGGAAACAAATATAGCAATCAATCGTTTATCAAAATCAAAATAAAGTCAAGGTATCTATTTTGCCTCAGCATCCATAAGATTATTCTAAGTGATAAAGGGCAATAAATCTGGCAATAATGATCTGAAATTGCTGAAAATCAATAGGCGCCCTTGGACTATAAACAATGTGTTTTAAGTTTTAAGTCAATTGGATAGGGAAGAGAGAGAAATGGGGTTTAACGTTCACTTGACACAAACTAGGTCATTTTTGGACTAACATGGTTCAATTTTATTTCAATAATTCGCTTGCATGTAGGGGTCTTTAGCTGTGGGAGGAAACCGGCAACCATACTCATCACGTACATGCAGGGAATCGAAACCATGCCACTTGACTCAATGACAGACCTTCTGATACAATGCGCACATGTTAGCCATTTGACCATTCCTGTATTCAAAGCAAAGACCACCTTACCTTTAAAATGGCGTTGGATGGTTTTTTAGCCTCAGCTTCATTCCTGTCAAGATCAATGTTGGCTTCGTTATCATTCTTATTGGATGTCTGAGGTGAACTTGTGACCTCTTGATCCATAATTGACGGCACTCCTTCACCATCGTCATCCTGACTCAACAACTTCTTTAATATTAAATTGTCCTTTTTCTCGTCGCGAAGTTTACCGTTAACACTCTCCCCATCCTCGTTCGACGTACTCTGAGGTTTTTCTGGCGAGCTCTGCCCCGTGCCCGGTTGAGGCGACTGACTAATGCTTTCAAAAGGAGAATAGTCCAAACGGTCCATAAATGAGCGAGCTGATGAAGCGGACTCGCTCCGAGCTATTTTCGGCTGCTTGTACAATGCACTTGATTTGTTAAAGGAGGTATCTTGAGTAAGTAGCTGACACAGTTTTCCCGTTCGTCCAGCCCCACCCCCGTTAGACGTATCAAAATTGATCTTGTCTGCGTAGCGAGGGGACAAGTCAGCTGATAGTGAATGTTCTAGAGGACGATGAGGACTGTGTGAACTAACCGAACTGGAAACGGGTTGTAAATCTTGGCTTAAACTTCGACCCCACGATGAGGCTGCTGAAAAATAAAAAATAAAACAATATTAATACAATCAGATGCATTCAGGTTTAAAATTTAGAAAAGTTAGATGGTTCTTAATGTGAAATTTCTAATCAACCACCAGAGAGAGAGAGAGTGTGGTTTAATGTCCATAACACAAGACTGGGTCATTTCAAGACTAACATATAATTCGATTGCCTGTATGGGTCTTAAGTAGTGGGAAGAAACTGGAGGACCTAGAGAAAACTCACGAGGATGGCCAGGCGACCCTACTCCTTGTCATGTACAACCAGGGAATCAAAACCACACCACTTGACTCAATGACAGACCTTATGATCTGATGTGCATGTGCTAAACCATTTGATCACCCAACTCCCCAATAGTCAACAACAGGAGAGAGAGAATGGGGTTTAACAGCCACTCGCCAAAAACTAGTGCATTTTGGGGCTAATATATGGTTCAATTTTATTTCAATACTTTGCTTGCCCATAGGGGTCTTTAGCAGTGGGAGGAGACCAGAGAAAACCCACAAGCTTGTACAGGCGACCCTATTCCTTGTCACATACAGCCGGGGAATCGAAACCACGCCAGTTAACTCAATGACAGACCTTATGATACAATGTGCAAGCGCTAACCATTCAGTTTTCCAACCCCCCAACAACAGAAGGAAGCGACTGACAACTCTCACTAGTTTTTGCCTGTCACATCACAAATTGAATATACCAGTTTGAATGAAATCACTACAAGTTGTCTGAAGCAAACAACCCATAAAGACCGTAACATTTTTATTCTTTTGTAAAGAATTGGAGTATTTGCCTGACACTAAAACATATTAAAGCACAACAATACATGAAGAAATTATCAAAAATAATCAAAATTTAATAGGATTCTTCCTAGCACTAACATAACAACAAAACATGTACCAGTAATCTATTAAAGCTTCATTATTTCTAACAGAATAGATTAAACATGCATTATGCAAGAGCAAAATCTGCTTATTACAGGTCTTTCTTTAGGCCTGAAATGTTATCTAAATTATCAATTAGACATTAATTAACTTATCCAGACCATAATAAACTCTCGATGTCAAGGCTAGCCTTCGATGTAGGCTGGATTAGATTCCTATATGCCGCTAATGGCTATTGATAATTAAATCATTAAAAGTGGATAATCGAGACTATGCTGTTTATATAAATGATTTTAGTAATGATGACTGAGACTATGCAAAAATTTCAGCCGCTTCTTTCTCGGCTCATAGTGGATCAATTTGACTGAAATTTTCAGCAAATTACCTTTGCAAATTACCTTTACACTATCTAGTTTTTAACTATTATAGGGAGAACTGCCATCTCTTTATCTTATCTCCCATAATGTATCTTTAACACATGACACAATGATAGTTTATTTCTGGCATTATATATACCAGTAATCATATGATAACTTGAGCTGTTTTTAATGCTGTCGTATCAAAATTACAAACTGTACTTCTCTACTCCTTTGGGCTAAATATAAATAAGACCCAACTCTTATTTCGGATTCCATGAAAGGGTCTAAAGCAGTGGGAGGAAACTGGAGAACCCATAGAAAACCCACGAGGTTGGACAGGCGACCCTAGTCCGTGGCACGTAGAAGTCAGGAATCGAAACCATACCACTTGACTCAATGACAACTAATTTGATTTTGCTCGTAAGGGGTCTTTAGCAGTGGGTGATCTTCCCCTTTTTATCATGTACAAGTGGGGAATTTTATATGGATTGAATAAGATAAAGAACTTACTAGCTGGTGGAGACATCATTGGATTCTTCTTCTGTTGTCCAGCCATATGATACTGAGCCCTCATTTGTCCTGCTGATCCCGGACTCCTCTGTCCCGGATACCCTGGTAGACGACCAGACGGCACTTGAAAACTACTACTCCGTGGTCCTGGACTGACTGGATATCCAGGACTCGTCTGTCCGTCGAAGGACAGCGAGTTATTTCGTTGTGTAAAATTAAGGGCTGAAGGTTTTTTATTCCCAAGGCCATTATTACTGCCGCCAGGACTAGGCATAGTGTTCAGTATGGAACTATTAGGTGACATTTTCGGTAGTCCTTGCCAGGGATTGGACGTGACGGGACTACTTCCAGACGTGGAAACGTTCGTTAAACTATTCAACAAATCACTAGATCCCTCCGAACCGAACACACTATCCCAATTATTGGAGTTCAAAAAGTCAAAATCACTCATAGTGTCACTTATATTCATTTTACTCGAAGATTGTGGGCTCATAAAATTATTCTGTCCACCTAGAACGCCCATAGGTAGCGATGAAGAGAGACCGGACGACATATTGTTTCCACGGTTACTAGAGCCAGAAGGTCCTATTATTGACTTCATTAAACTGGTGGATGCTGAGCCTTTTAATTCAACTTCTGAATCACATTCTCTGGAAGAAAAAAGACATTGATGATAAATTTAGTGCAGCCATTTTCTTGTATTAAAACAAACTGTGGCAAAGCAAAAAGGAAAACATCCTACACTATTTGGTTCTATGGAAACACCAAATTTATTGAATACACCAACATTCAGCCCTTGTTCATTTCGCTTTTTGATAGGCATTGAGCAATCAAACTGATTGTGTGTTCTAAACATTCAAGCTGTATAGAGTTCGGGTCATCATCGATCAAAAAAATACCACATCAGGCCCTGAGTTCACAAAGCATTCTCAGACTTGAGATAAGAATTGACCCAAAATTGTTTGCCTTATTTTACTAAAATTACAGCCCTTTATAAAACTTTTTATTGTTTTAATGTATCAGATACATCAATAAGAAATGAAATGGGGTTTAAAGTCCTACTGTTCTGCTCCTATACTGGCTAATGAAGACAGGCATACGCCATACAGTGTGCTATGGGGGAAATTTTGACCGGGCAGCGGCACTATCGCCTACTCTTATATCGAATTCCAACTGCCAAGGGATCTTTTACGTCATTCCAATGTATACACGGGACCTCGGTTTTTTGTCCCATCCAAACGACTAGACAGCTGTCCTTGTCAGGCCCTCCATCCTGCATCACTGACAAGGGAAAACCACGCCTGAAAATCTGAAGGAACTTTCTCGGCCAATGCAGGGATCGAACACCCGACCTCCAGGCTAGCGAGCCAGCGTCTTACCCACTTAGCCACGTGATCCCCATACATCAATAAGAAACTGTGTGTTTCTGGATCAAAGATATTTCTCATAAACAGTGATTAAAAGTTGAGTAAATTCTTAACTTAAGTCTGAGAATGCTTTGCGAACTCGGGTCAGATAAAGCTAATCGAAGATGCTAGCTTCTTTCAAATAACAATCTGATTAAAATACAGATCTATATTTCGTTTATTTTTTTTTTATTACTTTCGATGGCCTGCCTACACTACATGAAGATCTGACACGTTACAGTGGGAGTTCACGTTAGGGGTCAAACAAGTGGCTTTTGACCCTATAATGTCAGTCATTGATTAATCAATCAGCGTTGACGTTTCTGGTGGTTTACCCACAGTTCCGTGCATCAAAAGGCCAAGAACTCGCCGTAACAGATCCTAGTGTAGTAAAGTCAAGTAAAACGAAATTTTGAACTATAAAAACGAAACGAAATAGAATCTGTGTTTTAATCAGATTGTTTCAATATGAAAAGCAAAATAACTGCAATATTTTGATATTAAAAAAAAAAATACATGGCGATCAATCAATATTGTCCACATGTGAAAACAAAATACTGGGCTGGATTGGTGCAATTATTACCACATGCAGTAGTAAATAGATTTTTTAGTTACTGGTACTACTAGTCTACTAGTTGCTGGTAAGCCTAGTCTATCAGCTGTGTCACTACTCACTGGAAAAACTGGAAATATCCCTTTAGATTATCTTGTTACTGGTATGACAAGTCTACCAGCTGTGTCACTACTCACTGGACAAAATGGCAACATCCCTTTATCTGATTTTCATGAGGACACAAAACATAATTGTTCTCTCACTGTCACAGCATTTATTATAAAGATAATAAAATTTCTGTTCTCGCACTGTCACAACATTTATTAAAAAGATATTAAAATTTCTGTTTTCGCACTGTCACAACATTTATTAAAAAGATATTAAAATTTCTGTTCTCGCACTGTCACAACATTTATCAAAAAGATATTAAAATTTCTGTTCTCGCACTGTCACAACATTTATTAAAAAGATATTAAAATTTCTGTTCTTGCACTGTCACAACATTTATTATAAAGATATTAAAATTTCTGTTCTCGCACTCTCACAACGTTTATTATAAAAATATTAAAATTTCTGTTCTCTCACTGTCACACAACATTTATTATAACGATATTAAAATTTCTGTTTTCCTGATAATATCGACTGTATATTTGTCACACCTCTTATATATAACCTGAAACTGTCCATATAGTGTGATATACAACCACCTGTCTAGCGTTGGATTCACCTATAAGCTTGACAGGCTTAATACGTATGTGTAGGAGGGTTTTTTTTTTTTTTTAAATTATAAACAATATTTTTACTCAGGATGTCTGAATGGGATTGGGAAACAGGCTTAGCCTATGTAAAACCCCTCTCCGTAGGATGATATGGTCACGATACGATTAAGGGTGTGACGACTAAGCAAAACTTGAACCGGTTAGTCGGCGGCTAAAAAAACCGAACCGATTCGGTTTAGTCGGTAATGAAAACTAACTGAAAAATATTAGTCTTCCATAGTCTACAATACACGCTAATATACTGGCCTTTAAATACGGAGCTTAAAACTGTAATGGCGACATACATACAGTTCTATGTTTTATGTGTCCAGTACATTAAAAAATTTGGTTTTGTTTGTACTATGTAGTTTGTTCAAATCTCCTGTTTAACCTTTTTAATAAAAGTAATAAATACAACATATAAAAAACTTCAAACAATGACGTATTGATCAATAATATTAGTGATAAACCGACGAGAAAGTGTATCTGGGCATCAGCTCAGTGCGCATGCCTATTGACCTAACCTGGAGGATTGCTTGTTTCTGATTGGGCACTTCAACCATTGACCTTAGCGACCGACCAATCAAATAACGTATTCTTAAAATAACTTCATTAGGTATGCAAAAACACACTCGCTTGTAATCGCGAGAATATCCACGACCGATTACGGAATATTTATATAGTATATACTGTCTCGTTATTATTATTGTCGACCATTTATCAATGATGTAGCTTATTGCTTATTCGCCCCCATAATTGTCAATCGTTAATACATGTATCTTTTTAAAAAAAACATGTTATAATATTCGGGCGACTGGTTTTATATCATGCTGTATTTTTTAGACTATCGATTTCCCGAAACTTGAACCGGTTTGTAGGTAAAACCTAACCGACTCCGACTAAACGTCACACCCTTAGATACGATACATATTACGTGCGAGTTAAAACAAAGAATGACGTCAATCTGATTAAAACACTGATCCTATTTTTTTTCGTTTTTTAAAGTTAAATTTTTTTGTCTCAATAATCATTGCTACCGTTTTCAAGATAACAAAGAAAGTCTCGATTGTCACAATCAGATTAAAACACCGATCCTATTTTTTTTCGTTTTTTAAAGTTAAAATTTTTTGTCTCAATTGTCATTGCTACCGTTTTCAAGATAACAAAGAAAGTCTCGATTGTCACAATCAGATTAAAACACAGATCCTATTTTCTTTCGTTTTTTATAGTTCAATTTCATTTTATTTGACTCTACTACACTAAGATCTGAAATAGTTGTTATATTACCAGCGTTTTGGTTGAAGTGAGGGATAAGACAATGAAACGGTCTCTTACGGCGACTTCTTGGCGTGGGTAAACCACAAGAGACGTCAATGCTGATTGATTAATCAATGTCTGACGTCAAAGGGTCAAAAGCCGCTCTAAACAACCCTGACACGACCTTCGAGTACAACTTGTCAAAACTTCATGTAGTGTATCATAAGGTCTGTCATTGAGTCAACTCGCATGGTTTCGAACCCCCAGTTGTACGTGACAAGGAGTAGGGTCGCCTGTCCAACCTCGTGGGTTTTCTCCGGGTCCTCTGGTTTCCTCCCACTGTTAAATACCCACACGCACAAGCGAATTATTGAAATGAAATTGAACCCTATGTTAGTCCCGAAATGACCTAGGTTGTGTCGAGTGTACGTTAAACCTCATATTTCTCTCTCTCTCTCTCTCTTAAGACTGTCAGTAAAACTAAACATTAAACCAATGAATAAACATTTTACTAAGTCACTCTGAATTTTTGATCTCTCTTTCGTAATAGTCAAACAATTGTGTACTATGTTTTGAAGACAGGGGCAACAAGGCTAAACAATCCAAGTATGTTTAGATAGGGTGTAGCAGTGTAGTACTATCAGACTTCTTTCCTTGTTATGTTTGTTTTCTTCGTGATCGTAATAACACTACAGAATAAATGGTTTTACAACTTTATTGTTACGCTGTAATGGCTTTGAAGGTACCTCGTTCTCAATAATAATAGCTGCTTGGTATATCTGGGTGAGCTCTAATCAATCTTGCTCTACACCCTGTTTTATAACCCCCTAATTTCTGCACGTCTTAGATAGCCTTGACGTTAATTTCCATCCCAAATATGGAATAAACCTCTTTATTTCACAAGACCAGAGGAGGAAAAATTACCTTATTTGGTCTACCAACCTTAGTTTAGATAATAAAGGAGTGGTGACAAGATACTTACACAGAAAATGTGCGATATAAAAATCTGTTAAAAAATAATTAACAACTTTGCCATGGAAACACAAATCAATAATTAGCAAATGGCACAAGTGCTCTATCGTACAGTATGGCTGTGCTAAATATGTTGACATGTAGACCAGGACAATTTTCGGATGTAGACTATGGTTGCGACTACAGTCTGAACTATCCCGACCATGCTCTATCGTATGGTATGGCTGGTCATGACTAACGGTTGAACTATAGTACGAAAATCCGTGCAATGAAGGTCGCCAAAATGAATGGAACTGGAGTTTAACATCCTGTACCAACAGGTCTATTGAAGATGGAAAAAATGAAATGAAATGGGGTTTAACATTCGACTGTGCTATGTGTGCTGTGAGAGAAATTTTGCCAGGACAGCGGCGCTAAGGCCTACTCTTATATTGAATTCCAACTGCAAAGGGATCTTTTACATGCACGCCATCAATTTATTTTAGAGCTTCTGACACACATAAACATGAAATTCTTGTAAGTGTATATAGTAAACCCTAAGCTTTAGGTACATAAAACTTTGTTTGGTCCTTTTATGTGCTCTTTAACAGTATACATCAATGATAATGACTAGAGAAGCCTAGTCGAAATGTCGCTCAGTAATAAGCAGTAATTGTATTCCAATTTCCATAGAACTGTGACCCGTATACTCCAGTTCAATTACTTAAAGCCCCTTATAAAATACAATGAATGACAATGATACCTAACAATATAATGTGCTGAAATTACAAATTGAACTATTTGGCAATACAAATGCACTGACATTACAAATCAATATATTTGATGATAAATACCTAATAATGGAATTTTCACTGGCATTACAAATTGAGATATTTGATAATACATAGAGAGAAAAAGAAATGGGATTTAACGTCCACTCGACACAACCTGGGTCATTTCGGGACTAACATATGGTTCAATTTTATTTCCATAATTCACTTGAGCGTAGGGGTTTTTAGCAGTGGGAGAAAACCAGAAGACCTGGAGAAACCCAAAAGGTTGGACAGGCGACCCTACTCCTTGTCACGTACAACCGGAGAATCAAAACCACGCTTGATAATACATACCTAACGATGGAATGTGTTGACATTACAAATTAAGATATTTGATAATACATACCTAATAATGGAATGTGTTGACATTACAAATTCAGCTTCATTAGAGATTGGATTACTGAACAGTTTACTCTTAGTCTGAACAAAAACATATTTTCCTTCTAATAATTTAAACCGATACACACTACTTGTGTTACTGCCATTCTTTCGCACTGAAAAAGAAATTTTGTTTTATTTCAATTAGTGTTAACTTATTTCATTATCATCTGAAATCGGGGACTCAGTGAGAGAGAGAGAGAGAGAGAGAGAGAGGGGGAGGATTAATGTCCACTCAACACAAAACTAGGTCATTTTAAGACTAACACTCGCCTGTAGGGGTCTTTAGCAGTGGGAGGAAACCGGAGGACCTAGAGAGAACTCACGAGGTTGGTCAGGCGACCCTACTCCTCGTCACGTACAACCAGGGAATCAAAACCACGCCAGTTGACTCTATGACAGATCTTATGATCTGAGGCACATGTGCTAAAACATTTGATCACCCAACTCCCCAACTGTCAATTACTAAATGCCAACAACAGAAGGAGAGAGAAAAAAATGGGGTTTAACATCCACTCGACACAAACTATGGCTAACTTATGGTTCAATTTTATGTTTGTGCGTAGGGGGACTTTAGCAGTGGGAGGGAAGCAGAGTACCTAGAGAAAACCCACAAGGTTGGACAGGCAACCCCATCCCCACCGACTCAGTGAGTAAGACATAATCTCAATAAACTAAAGGTTCAGTGTTTTAGTGGAGAAAGTTCCTCAGGATATTCGTGTCTACAGTCAGTGGTGCAGAGTAGAAGATCTAGCAAGGATAATCATCTACTTGTTGAGATGGGACAAAAAAGTGACATGACAGTTTTAATTCGAAGAGTAGGCAAAAAGCTGCTGTCCAAGCCAATTTCCTCTCATACCAAACTGCATAACATAAGAGAGAAAAAGAGAGAGAGAGAGAGAGAGAGAGAGAGAGAGAGATGGATGGGTTTAATGTTCCACTTGACACAAACCAGGTCAATTTTATTTCAATAATTCGCTTGCACATAGGGGGGTTTATTAGTGGGAGGAAACCGGACAGACGACCCTACTCCTTGTCACTTACAAGCAGGGAATCAAAACTACGTCACTTGACTCAATGACAGACCTTATGATGCGACGCGCACACATTAACCATTCAGCGCCCCCCCCCCTTCCAAGAAATAGAAAAAAAGATACCTTCTTGAAAATGTTTATTTAACTGTTGAATATCATTGGCATGACAAAATTCTTGAATTGGTTGTCCAACAAACTCTAGTGCAATACGATGATTATTAGCCAGGCTTCTGTGAAAATAACAAGAAATATATCACTGATTACAAACATCCATTTTAAATTCATACTCAGATTATTTAATATTTAAATATTTAAAGATAAAAATGGGAAAGTGAGACTAAGTTTCCAGACTAAGTTTCAAATAAACCAGTGCCCTGGTTACCACAATGCACACATCTTGTCAAAACTACATAAACTGAAAACTTGGCTCAGAATGAAGTAATTTGACTGAAATTTTTAATATTTTCATTTTACATTATCTATTTTTGAGCTATTATAGCAAGAATGGTCAGCTCTTTATCTAAATCTTACATAATGTATCTATAAAGATACATTAGTTAAGAGTTTTATAAAGAGTTGGCCAATCTTGCTATAATAATTCAAAAATAAATGATCAAAAAAAGAAAATGTTGAAAATTTCAGTCAAATTACGTCAATTTGTTCTAAACGGAATTGTCACTGTTGGAAGTTTGCACTAGAAATAGGCATCAATTTTGTCTGCACCGTCTATGAGAATTGGTGATCGTTTGATTGACTGACGATAACGCCACCCACATATTCTCGATTATCAAGTAACATGCTCAATGGTTATGGTAGCCTCGCTTGGCAGGCCTTTCATCACCAGTCTCTGGTAGTGACATCAGTGACTAACAGTTAACGTTAGCTTGGTCCGCCTTTTATTGATTTAATTTTAAATGGACGACTGTTTAAATCCAAACTGTATCCAAGCCATCCGTGGGTCTACAGAGTTGATTTTGAGCTTGTCGTGTAAATAAAGTTCTAATTAATAATTTCAATAACATCTGAAGCCTAAATAAAGACTTGCAATAAAATCAAAATATCTACGGTTGATTTAATTCGATTAAAAATGTTTATTTATTTGTTTATGCGTCGTGCGATTCTCCCGTACTTCCTATTAAATTCAATCTGATTAAAATACAGGCGCCTGTTTCACGAAATTTTAACTAACATAAAATCCAAATTTTAGTAATTTGATTGGATAATATTAGATTGATTTTAGTGCTTAGCCAATCAAAATTGAAGTATCTATTAAAATTTGGATTTTATCTTTAGTTAAGATTTTGAGAAACAGGGCCCAGATCTATATTTCGTTTCGTTTTTTTATACTTTAGATGGCCTACACTACATGAAGATCTGACAAGGTGTACTGGTAGATTGTGTTAGGACTCATACGAGCGGCTTTTGACCCTATCACGCCAGACATTGATTAATCAATCAGCGTTGACGTTTCTGGTGATTTACCACCAGTTATATGCATGGCACGCCAAGAAATCGCCGTAACAGACCGTTTCATTGGCTTATCCCTCACTTCAGCCAAAACGCCGGTAAAATAACAACTCTTCCAGATCCTAGTGTAGTAAACACAAATAAAACGAAATTTTGAACTATAAAAATGAAACGAAAAAAGATCTGTGTTTTAATCAGATTGTATTAGACTTCAACTAAAATTGATGTGTAGTTAGTTTAGACCAGGGGTGTCAAACATGCGGCCCACCAAGAGTTTAAATGTGCCCTGTGGAACAAATTTTAACAAACTGATGTGTTGATAATTCTTAGAAACTAGCAGGGGAAATCATTTATTATTGTTTTCCGGTTTCAGTAAAACTCTGATTTCTGTTCTATATGTCATGGATATCTAAGTTGTATGTAATACAAGAGAATGTTGTGTTCAATACTATATCTTGGCAATTTGGAAACCAGTCTAAGAAATTACCCATGTCATGGATGTTTGGCTTTGTTTTTAGAATTCAGTAAAGTTCAAGGACATTTGGCTTTATCTTGATATTTTTGTTTATATCCCCGGCCCACTTGATGTAAAATTTTAGTCCATGTGACCCTTGAATCGAAATGAGTTTGACACCCGTGACCTAGAGTCATAAGCAAATACTTAATTCAGAAAGCAAAATCAAAACATCAATGGTTGATTCTCAATTGGATTAAAAATGTTTTACCTAGAGTCATAAGCAAGTATTTTTCCACTAAGATCTTGTTTTGTAGTAAGCAATTATTTAATTCAGAAAGCAAGAGAGAGAGAGAGAGAAATGGGGTTTAACATCCACGACAAAAACTAGGTCATTTCGGGACTAACATATGGTTTAATTTTATTTCAATAATTCGCTTGCACGTAGTCTTTAGCAGTGGGAGGAAACCGGAGAAAACCCACGAGGTTGGACAGGCGACTCTACTCCTTGTCACGTACAACCGGGGATTCGAATCTACGCCAGTTGACTCAATGACAAACCATGTGATACAGCGCGCACGTGATAACCATTTGGCTATCCAACCCACCAATTCAGAAAGCAAAATCCAAATAAAGACATCAACGGTTGATTCTCAAATGGATTAGAAATATCTTACCTAGAGTCATAAGCAAGTATTTTTCCACTAAGATCTTGTTTTGTAGTAAATTGTTCGATACCTATCATCATGTTGGCCTTCTCAGTTAAAGGCAGTAGACGTGAGATGCAAACTAAACACGTCTGATTTTCTGAAAATACAAAATAATTATAACATTAAACAGCTGGAGTTCTCGCTATAATAGTTAAAAAAATACATAATAAAAAGAGAATATGCTTGAAATTTTTGTGAATTGCTTCACTCTGAAGTGAGATATTAGCGATTCAATTTTAGGCTTGCCTCAATCGTCATTACTAACGTTGCTATGATAATAAATAACATTAAAAGCAGTCATTGTTTTATAAAGGGATGCCATCTCTCTTGAGTCTCTGTTGCACACCTGAATTTCGACCGAGGGGAGATTTTTTCTCCCTCCCCTTAATATTGAAATTCGCAGTCCTTTACAAAGTCATAGGGGGTTTATTACCATTTATGAAACCAGGAATGACTCCCATACATGCAGTTATTGATAATACAACCATTTGCCATAAGATGGACAGATGACCCTACTCCTTATCACATACAAGTGGGCAATCTAAACCACTCCAATTCTAGTCTCATTCTTCGAGTCCCTTGTTACAAATGGCGCTGAAATTCGTGTACCACTGGAAAATTGTTTATTTTGTCTTAAATATTGGATATCAGAAGCCCATCTTTTCCCGGTAAGATCACAACATCAATGTTAATTTAAATTGAATAATAATTGGTGTTTTCAATGTCGAAGTCTTTGGATGATATTGAGTTTGAGACTCGGCTACTTTAAGTTTATTATTTCTATTTAATTTACATTTGATTTATTTTTTTCTTTTAATTTAATATATTTCATGATTTATATTAATTTTATGTTTTTATCGTATCGGTACAATATATATATCTTTGTAAATGCACCAGAGCACAGCTGCCGCAGCTGGACTAGATTTTTGTGAGATAAATCTAATAAGTTATTATTATTGAGTTTAACTACGTTTTTATGATTAGTTTGTGATCAAAGAGATTTCAGTTAATATTAAATAAAATCTGTGTGGTCATTTTTATGGAATCACATTTTCTTTATAATATATTCTAGAACTGAGACACAAACAAACTAGATCATTTTGGGACAAATATATTTTTAAATTTTATTTCAATAATTCGTTTGCGCATTTTGGGGTTTAGCAGTAGGAGGGACAGTAGGAGGAAACCAGAGGACCCAGAAGAAAACCTGCGAGATTGGCCAAAGGATCCTAACCCTTGTTATGTACAAGCTCCGAATCAAAATCCACATAACTTTCTCCAAAGATAGATCCTAAGATCTAAGGACGCACGCTAAATTATTCAACCAATGAACCCCCCTTTGTCAGGTATAAGCATGGACAGGTGCTTGGTGTATAAAGATAGGTTGCCAGGCAATGAAACCTACGTCCACAGCAACTACGTCGTCCGAGCAGTCAATAAGTGTTGTCGCATATTTTTTCTTTTGTCAGTAATGAGAACATTTACAACACAGGAAAATCTGATTACGAGTGATAACCCATGAAGTAATTATCAGAAAACATAAGAATTTGTTTCGATGTCAGGTATAAGCTTGGACCGGTGCTTGGTGTATAATAAGTTGTGTATATTAGCTGATTCACCATATGATTCTGAGATATGGTGACAGATTTAAGATCTAAAGGGCACACACTAAATAATTTGACCAATGAGAAAGAGAGAGAAATTGGGTTTAACGTCCACTTGACACAAACTAGGTCATTTGGGGATTAACACATGGTTCATTTTTTTTATTTCAATAATTTGCTTGCGCGTAGGGGTTAGCAGTTGGAGTAAACAAGAGGACCCAAAGAAAACCCACAGGGTTAAACAGGCGACCCTACTCCTAGTCATGTACAACTGGGCAATCAAAACCACGCCAATTGATTCAATGACAGACTTATGATATAGCGCGCATGTGCTAACCATTCGGCCATCCACCCCCCACCCCTATTCGACTAATGAACCCCCTTTGCCAGGTATAAGCTTGGACAGGTGCTTCGTGCTAATCATTTGGCCATCCACCCCCCACCCCCTTATTCAACTAATGAACCTCCTTTGCCAGGTATAGGCTTGGACAGGTGCTTCGTGTATAATAAGTTGTAAATATTAGCTGATTCACCATATGATTCTGCGAATTTTTCACCTAAATATGGTGACAAATTTTAAGATCGAAAGGGCACACAATAAATTATTTGACCAATGAACCCCCCTTTGTCAGGAATAAGCACGGACAGGTGCTTGGTGTATAAAAACTTATGTATATTACCTGATTCACCATATGATTCCGAGAATTTTTCACCTAAATATGGTTGTAATACGGCTGTAATCTGCATGCTTTCATATTGCCACACGTAGGATTTTAATTCAATATCGTTATCTTCATCACCTACAAAAAAAATATATACACAATATATAGACGTCATAGACTATTGTTAATTGAATTATTGTTTAATAAATGCCTGAAGAGCCGCTATCGCGGTTAAAACATTTGCATAAAAATGAGGTTTTATTTTGCCATCTTTAATTTCAATTATATATATATATATATATATATATAGAGATAGAGAGAGAGAGAGAGAGAGAGAGAGATGAGGTGCTACAGCCTACTCTTCCTTGGATAAATTTCCAACTGCCAGGAGATCCCTAACATTCTGCCAGTAGTATATACATTTATGAGACTTCAGGCTCGGAGCAATCTGATTAAAATACAGATCTATATTTCGTTCCGTATTTTTATACTATCGATGGACTACACTACATGAAGATCTGACCGGTTGTAGCAATAGGTCGCGTCAGAGGTCATACAAGCAGCTTTTGACCCTATGACATGAGACATTTGATTAACCAATCAGCATTGATGTCACTAGTGGATTACCCACAGTTCTCTGCAAAACACGTCTAAAGCTCGCTGTAACAGACCGTTTCATTGGCTAATCCCTCACACCAACCAGAACACGTCAATGATAACAACACTTCCAGATCATAGTGTAGTAAAGACAAGTAAAACGAAATTTTGAACTATAAAAAGGAAACGAAATAGGATATGTGATTTAACCAGATTGGGCCGTGAGTTCACAAGGCATTCTCAGACTTAAGTTAAGAATTTACTCAAATTTCTATCACTGTTTATGAGAAATATCTTTGATCCAGAAACACAAAACTTTGCACATAAGTTTCTTCTTGATGTATTTGATACATTAAAACAACAAAAGTTTTATAAAGGGCTATATTTCAGTTAAAATAAGGTGAACAATTTTGAGTAAATTCTTAACTTAAACATACATTATGCAAGAGCTAAATCTGTCTATTACAGGTCTTTCTATAGGTCTGAAATGTTATCTAAATTATTAATTAGACATTTATTAACTTATCCAGACCATAATCAACTCTCGATTGGATTAGGTTCCGATTTGCTGTTCGACTTCCATTTATAATTAAATCATGAAATGGATAATCGAGACTTATTTTTTTTATCCTACCGACTTTATTAATGATGATCAAGGCTAGGCCGAAAATTCAATCGCTAAAATCTTGGTTCATAGTGGATCAATTTGACTGAAATTTTCAGCAAATTCCCTTTACAGTATCTAGTTTTTAACTATTATAGTGAGAACTGCCTGTTCTTTATCTATCTAATCTCCCATAATGTATTTTTAAGTCTGAGAATGTTTTGTGCAGTTTTTCGTACAGCCCCTCTGTCTTGCATCAGGCCGGAAAGTCTTGAGGAATTTTCCCAGCCGACATAGAAATCCTGGTTATTGAGCCAGCATCACACCATGGGGATGCTCGATTGTCCGGAAATGACATTATTGCAATCAAGTGGCACGGAATTCAGTCCCGTCACAGTTCTGCCAGTCCCGACCGACAGGTGGTATGAGTAGAATCGTGACGTAATTAATACAAAGAATGTGCTTCAGCTGTCATGGTTGGTCGAGATATTTTCTTATAAGGTCGGCGCATGTGTTGTAGCCTGTAATCCCCCTCACTTGGGATTTAGAGACTTCAGTTCTGGAATGTTCAATCGAGTACCCCTCTAGGCTTGCAGGACTAATACCAACATGGTAAAACTATAGGCGGAGTTCAAAATTGAAATAGGGCTACTACTGAATGCTGTGTTTAGCTAAAAACAATCTATCAAAATAATCTAAAATAAAACTTATTTCTACTTACTTGGGGGTTTTATAAGCATTCTACAGTTAAAATTCTTGGCTTTATTATTAACTGAATTTTCATTGGAAAATCTTAAATTATTACCTGAAAGACAAAATATTCTTTATTACATTTAGAAATTAAATACAAAGATATGATGTGAACCCAATCTAATAGGTGAAAGTGGAATCGAAATCCAGTGATAAAATCACTCAACCTTAAATCATCACCTGAAAGACAAATTACATTTACAAATCAAATATAAAGATAATATCACTTTGAGAGAGAGAGAGAGAGAGAGAGAGAGAGAGGGGGGGTTTAAGGTCCACTCGATACAAACTATGGCATTTCGGGACTAACACATGGTTCAATTTTATTTCAATAATTCGCTTGTGCGTAGGGGTAATTAGGAGTGGGAGGAAACTGGAGGCCCCGGAGAAAACCACGAGGTTGGACAGGCGACCCTACGCCTTGTCACATACAACTGGGGAATGACAGATTATATGATATAATGCCGTGGCGCTAACCATTCAGCCATCCAACAACACCATTTAGTATACAAAACATGTAATATCATGAATTTAGCTGTTCTATTTATCTGAAAAATTGAAAATCATGGCCCGAATAAATTTAAAGTCAAACAGATGATAAAATTGGTCTTGAGAGCATCCCTAAGATTTATCAAAGTGATCAAGGATAATAGACATTGTGTATAAATTTGAAGTCAATCATATAATTAAATAATGGGTTCCCGCGTACAAACTGGGCGATTTAATGGTATATATGGACTAAAAACATATTCAAACTAATTAATTTGTCATAATTATGCTTCAAATCCTTCTCAAACATTGTAATTGCGAAGGAATGCCCTGCTATTAAAATTCGATCAAACCAGGTCATGTTTATGTCACGTCTTGGAAGTCAGAGGAGAATTCATTGCATACATAAGACGATGTTGTCTTTAATCGCTTACTATTTATTACAAATATCAAATCCTAATTAAATTCTCGGATTATCCACTACCAGCGTCTTTTTCCGTCATTTTTATATCAGAAAGTGTTGTACGTCTAACTCTTCATAGCGTTTATCAACTTCTACATCAAGCGCTCAATGTTCGCGTGTGACCTTTGACATCACGCGTGCACAAATTCTTAATCGTTGGGCTGTTGATTAGGGGAACCCATACATTTTTGTCCTGTATACGCTCCATGAGTGTTTTTCGGGGAATCCAGTATTTTTCTAGTAAGATTCGATATCTCTACTTTCCATATATACCAAAATTGCCATACTTTTATTGGAAATAACCACCCGATAAATACTTTTCTGGGAACCCATCTTTAAGACAATATACAACCACATTACATTTCAATGTGGGCGTATATAAAAATTTTAAATCTGGATACAAGCAATAAAATCCTGTTTGCCACTTGAATTTTCAAAATGGCCATCAATTTCCAAGATGGCTGCCAATTTTGATTTTTCTTTCAGGGAAGTTTAACCACTGGACCGATAGAGATGATTTTTACACACCCGTATTTATATGTATTATGTTCGGATGTCTTAACAACATCCATTCACATTTGTTTATGGACAATGTAGGTCACAAATTTTATCCGATTTTAATGAAACTTAAAATCTGTACATGTCACATCTATCAGATAAGGTAGACTTTTGTGCGCATCACACAGCAACTTCATAGGTTATGACCTCAGTTTTTCATCCCATGAGGTCAACTATTCATTGTCCCTTGTCAGGTCCTCCCATCCTGCACCACAGACAAACCATGTCGGAAAATCTGGATGAACTTTCTCGACCAACACCGGAATCGAACATGTGACCCACAGGTTAGCAAGCCAATGTCTTAGTCACTAAGAAACCATGGCTCAAGGTTTTTTGTTTATTAATATTTACAGCATCAATTGATTTAGTAATGGACAATAACAACTAGATGAGAATTTCATATACTTACCCAATGACATGGGTAATAAATTATTACTGAACTGGGCATGATCACCAACATGTATTATATTATATATACTCTTTCCAACTAGATCATCCTGAAATTATATAATATATCACAAACATCAATAACAATATATCATACATCAATAACAATACACCATACATCAGTAACAATACACCCCACATCAATAACAATATACCATACATCAATATAGGTATACCACACATCAATAACAATATATCACAGTACATCAGAAACAATATATCTCACATCAAATTTATTACTAGGGTCACAGAGGTGGTACAGACCTTGTCAACTTACCGTTTAAGATTGCACAATGTTTTAGTCCAAACTTCCAAAAGTGATAATTTCGTTCGGAATAAAGTAATTTGACTGAAATTTTCAATTTTTCTTTTTTCATCATCTTTTTTTGAACGGTTAGTGTTACATCAAGAAATCAAGAATGGCCAACTCTTTATTAAAATCTGAACTAATTTATCTTTATTAAACTCTCATTGTATGAACAAGGAAATACAGTCATTTTATTATCTATAATATGTGAAGGATTTCTCCTCTGGGAATATAAGGGGGGGTTGGATGTCCGAATGGTTAGCATGTGCACGTTGTATCATGAAGCCTGTCATTGAGTCAACTGGCGGGGTTTCGATTCCCCGGTTGTACCTGACAAGGAGTAGGGTCGTCTGTCCAATCATATGGGTTCTTTTTTCCGGGTCCTACAGTTTCCTCCCACTGCTAAAGACCCCTTAGCGCAAGCAAATTATTGAAATAAAATTGAACCATATGTTAGTCCCGAAATGACCTAGTCTGGGTCGAGTGGATGTTAAACCCCATTTCTCTCTCTCTCTGGGAATATAAAATAAATAGTGACATTTGTTGCAAAGACAAGACAAGCGTGTGATCTCTTGACGTTAAATATTTTGGTTTATTTTGAGGTTCGTATTTTTTTCGTGGGATTGTTGAAGTAAACAATGTTGTTACACACGGTATGTTCTGCATGAGCCAAGTTTTAAACATGAGTTAAAGGAACCTGAAGCCTTGTATAAAAGGCAACTGAAGTCCTTCTTAAAGCTAGGATTAAACCTAACAACAGTCAACTACACAACTTCTAACAGACTTGAACAATGGGCAAGTTTGTGAAAAGAGGCTGGCTGTCTTTCAATTCCCACAGACAACCCACAAGTAAGAATACTGAAATGTTGCATGAAATAAACTGAGAGAGAGAGAGAGAGAGAGAGCATTCTAGTTAATATTGTCCATCAACATGACCGGACCCCATTTCCTGGTTAACTATAAAATAAACCAACTGGACTAATAGTAGACATAGAGAAATGGGATTTAACATCTACTCATTACAAACTAGGTCATTTTGGGTCTAACACCTGGTTCAATTTTAACCAATCAGCATAGATGTTACTAGAGGATTACCCACAATACTGTGCAAAATACGCCTAAAGCTCGCCATACAGACCGTTTCATTGCCTAATCCCTCACACCATTCAGAACATGTCAATGATAACAACTCTTCCAGATCCTAGTGTAGTAAAGACAAGTAAAACGAAATTTTGAACTATAAAAATGAAACGAAATAGGATCTGTGTTTTAATCAGATTGGATATTATTAATAAATGTCCGGCAATAAGTTGAAAATATCAGGACTATTTCCAGGCCTGATATGTTAAATGTATATAAATATTGAGTTAGAGGTTTAGCCCCTTTAAGTAAGGTATAGTACAAACAATAAAGTCGTGTTGTTATGAAAGTTATACCTCTACTTCTGAATGTCATTTAAGTTTATTAAGTTATTAGATACTCATCAACAACATGAGGGCTGGAAATTTGACTAAGATGTTAACAAAATTTAAAATAGTATCTAAGTAATAAAATTTTTAAAATCCGGGTTTCAAATTACCACCTTAAGATTTTGAGAGAGAGAGAGAGAGCAAGAGAGCAAGAGAGAGAGAGAGAGAGAGAGAGAGGGGTTTAAAATTGTACATTTGACACAAACTAAGTCATTTGGGACTACCATGGGTCTACCTTTATGTCAATAACTTGTTTGTACCTATGGGTCTTTATTCGAGGACGCAGAGAAAACCCCCAGGTGACTACTCCTCCTCATTCACAAGCTGGGAATCAAAACCATGTCACATGTGTAAAAGACAGACATCATGATTTAAACCTTTCAGCCCCCACAAACGAAATGGAATGAAATGAGGTTTAAGATCCTACTGTTCTGCTCCAACTGGGATAATGAAGACGGGCATACACCATACAATGTGCTATGAGGGAAATTTTGCCGGGCAGCAGCACTATGGCCTACTCTTATATTGAATTCCAACTGCCATGGGATCTTTTACGTGTATGCCAGTATATACACGGAACCTCAGTTTTTCTCCCATCTGTCAGGCCCTCCGTCCTGCACCACTAACAAGGAGAAATCAAGCTGGAAAATCAGGATGGACTTTCTCGGTCAATGCAGGGATCGACCACGCAACCTCCAGACTAGCGAGCCAGCGTCTTACCCACTTAGCCACCGTGGCTTCCCGTCCACCCAAACCCTCCAACCATAAAGTGACAGAGTCATATCTATGTGTTGTTGGAACTGTTGTGATAAGTGACGGCACAAGATATATCGTTGAATCAATGTATATCGCAATTCACCTTCTCCTGATTCATGCATTCTCTTTTTATGTTTTCTTGTTGTTTCAGGGGGTGATGGGTGGATGGCTGAATGGTTAGCACATGCTTGTTGTATCATAAAGTCTGTAATTGAGTCAACTGGCGTAGTTTCGAATCCCCGGTTGTATGTGACAAGGAGTAGGGTTGCATGTCCAACTTCGTGGGTTTTCTCCAGGTCCTAAGGTTTTCTCCCACTGCTAAAGACCCCTACGCCCAAGCGAATTATGAAAATAAAATTGAACCATATGTTAGTCCCCAAATGACCTAGTTTGTGTCGAGTGGACGTTAAACCCCATATTTCTTTCTCTCTCTTGTTGTTTCAATAAGTATGATGTCATTCTTAATTATCCGGACGTCACAATATCCATTCTAATTAATAGATATTTAAATAATTTCCATATTTTATGATGCCTCGCAGAATAATAATAAACAACACATTTTGTGTATAATTGGTTTTTTTTTTTTACCATCTAAATTTAACTTCCAAAAAAAAAAAAAAAAAAAAAAAAACCTCATCTGGAGGTGGGGTTGTTGTTTAAAAAATGTCTCACAATATCCATTCTCCTTAATAGACATTTAAATAATTTCCATATTATATTATTTTATTATGCCTCACAGAATAATAATAAACAACATATTTGGTGTATAAATTTGTTTTTTTTTTTAACCATCTAAATTTAACTTCCCCCAAAAAAACCTCATCTGGAGGTGGGGGTGTTGTTTAAAAAAAATGTCTCTGATATCCTGCCTAAAGATCATAGTAAAAATAATATTAACATCTCTTGTAAATGTCTCTGACATCCAGTCTTAACATATAGTGAAATAACAACATCTCTTGTATATGTCTCTGATATCCAGTCTTAACATAATAGTGAAATAACAATTAATAATTGTCTCTCTACAAATGTAGCACTCTAACTTCATATGTCATCATTTTTTTGTTCGGGCCATTAAAAGGTTTCTGTTTTTGATCCAGTATGTGAAATCAATAACCGAACTTTGTTCCACGCTTGTAATAGTTGTAACAGTCCTGTTAAAATTAAACATCAAATAAAAATCTTGTTTTTTCGGTCTTGTCATCAATGATAATATTAAACTGAGTTTGAAATAACACGTAGCTTTTTACAACTATAATGCTCATGTTATGTTTAACACGGAGTGAACAGGCTTTTATCATTGGTTGAAAGAATTCAAACGAAGAATTGCAAAATTGTCATAGGACCATTTCAACATTTTTTTTTTCTCCAAATGCCTACATTGGTAATTGCTAGGATATTGTTAGAAGAAATGGAAATTCAAGAACAGCGTTAAATTAAGCCCAATTTATCTTTTTACATTATGTAAAATTAGATAGAGTTGACTGTTCTCGCTATAATGGATAATGAAAAGGGAATCAATGAAAAATTCAGTCAAAATTACTTTGAGCAGTGTAGCCCCGATTGACATGGCTACCATTGTTAAGATAATAAACAACGTCTCGATTATCCATTTTTAAATCTAATCATTAAATGGCGGAACTGTTCTAATCTACTTAAAATCGGAGGCAATGCGCAGATTTAGCTCTTGCATAATACGTGTTTAATTGTACATTATGTTGCAGCTAAATCAATCTTTTGCAGATCTTTTGTTTGGCCTAAAATCATCAATTAGACATTTATTCATATGCCCATAATCGTCACTCTAGATTATCAGATGATTTGGATTTTCTACTTATAGTTCAAAATTTCGTTTTACTTGTCTTTACTACACTAGGATCTGGAAGAGTTGTTATATTACTGGCGTTCTGGTTTAAGTGAGGGATTAGCCAATGAAACGGTCAGTTACGGCGACTTCTTGGCGTGTGATGCACAGAACTGTGGGTAAACCACTAGAAATGTCAACGCTGATTGATTAATCAATGTCTGATTTCTTCGGGTCAAAAGCCGTTCATGCGACCTTCCAGTACAACCGGTCAGATCTTCATGTAGTGTAGACGATCGAAAGTATAAACAATATACGACAACATTTCAATGTGGGCGTATAAAAATGAAAAATGAAACGAAATATAGATCGGTATTTTAATCAGATTGTAAGCATGATTGCCAGTCAAGACTTTTTTTTATTATCATAACTACGGTAGCAGTGGCAATCAAGACTCCATTATTACACTTGATTGGACAACTATAGATAAAGAGTAGTGGCTTATCTAATCAAATCGTAAATGTTTACACTTTCATAGCTTCAGTTTCCTCATGGGAATCCCATTTTCATTTGACCAATCAGTGCAGTAAAGTACATGTAGGATGTGAAACTCCATTTCATTCATTCATTTCTTGTGTGAATTCACTTCAACATTAGCCGAGGTGGTGCAGTAAAGTAGGATGTTAAACTCAATTTCATTGATTCATTCCTTGTGTG